ATATATATATATGCATAGAATAGACATCCAAATTCGGACAAACTTTGGCGGGTTGTTTGTCGCAGTAGGAAATCGGGTTTTCGTAAAACTAAGCGGTAAACTCGTCAGCGCAACATCAAGGCGTAATTTATCGAACCTGAAGCGATTATCTATTGCCCGACATGTTACAGACTTCCTCATTTTTCCAAAATCGACACTCTTCATATTACCAACAACTTCTAAGAAACATGAAGAATATTTCCAGAAGCCAACCGGTAGATCCTGAGTAAGGTTTGGCTTTACAAAGCTTTAAAATTGATCAAAATAGCCTTAAAATCTTGTTCGATACATGTAAATCTTTGGATTTTTTGTGTAGAACTAAAGCAGAAGAACGATTGCCAACCGGCTTGTTCAGATAGTCTATGTTCCTGCACCTTTTTTATGCTTATTGGGCGCTTCGCGTCTATGTACCTTTAGAGGTGTTGATCTGATGTCTCAATAAAATTTCGTTCAGCTGGACTCTTTTTTTTTCTAAGTAGCATTTAAGCAACACATATTAATAATAAGTTTTGGACTTAGCTTAAGAAATCGCTTCTCGCACGCTTACTATTAAAAGGGTCCTGTTAATCATTAGCGAATTAAAGAATCAGTATTTCAAAATACATACAGAAATAACCCTGCAACAACCCTTCTTTAATGTATCTGGCTTTGCTTTATTTTAGCCTTACAAGCGACTGTCGAGTTTTATGTGCCGATTTATATAGATATATATGTGCGGTAGAATAGTGAAAGTATAAATCGCACCGTATATTACTGTATATCATCACCCGTTTTGATGTTCTTTGAAATATTATATTGAAATATATATTACGACGCGTACGTATTTCCCAAAAGGTGACGTATTCGATTACGAGCCTGATTTATCGCAAACCTGTTTATCTCTTCGATCTAGCAGTGAGCCTTTAGAAACAAACGAGATCGTTGATAATTCAATCATTTTGGCTCATTTGACTGCGAGGGTTTTGCCGTATGTGCACGCATTATTCAAGTGAAGCCTTACTCTGGTTAACGCTGCTTTACGATACCATAGACAACTCTTATTTTTTTTTTCTTTCATTTTTATTATTTGCAGTTTACCAGTGAATATTTCTGTATTCTGAGGTACTATAACACAACGGAAACCGGTTGAAGACACTATAAAAACACTAACCCTCGTTTCAATGTTTATTCCATATACAGTTTTTCATGACGCTGTCGTTATCTTTGCGGTTGGTTTGCCGAACGCATATAAACTCCAAACACTAATGAACTTTCTCTTTTACGACTACGTTACAAACAATATGTGACCAACGGCAAATATAAATACAATTATTTTATTCTGTTCCGCACCTGACCCCACTAGGGGTGATGTTGCGAAGCGCAGTGAGTATCGACCGGCTGCTAGTTGAATCTAGGCTCGTTGGGTGACTTTGAGCCGGTAGCAGATCTTTTGTCTGAAACCGTTTAGTTTACAATATACATTCAGTAGATGTGGGCCTTCAAAGGGAATGACAAATCAGTCCTAGTGGATTTACTATTCCTGTTAAAGCTTTCATAGTAGCCAGATCTGTTTTGATTAATGGCTTGAATATGACCCGATCAACCACGGCACACACAGGCGCAAACTATAAACCTATTTAGTAACAGTGTTTTCAAATATAGCATCAACACAAACATTTCGTCTGACTTGCGAATGGTATCAAGATGAATTCGTTATCATATCTCATATGAGGTGGTTCGGGGTCCGTACTTTTACATATTGGGTAGAATACCTGAATGGAGTCCCGTTTTTGTTCTTCCAGCCCGTAAGCGCACACTCGCACCGCTTTATCCACCATTTGTCGAGTCAGCTGCGGGTTCCCTAGACGAAGCTTGCCCATGTATAGCACCTGGACATCACGTACGCAGAATGGTCCTTAATAAGAGAATGGATCCAGTCTTTCCAGAAAATTTAAAATCGATTACCCCTTACCTCAAAGGAAGCAACACAATCCAAGTTGGCAACACATCGTGGTAAATCTTGACGAAGTAGATGATTTGACAATTCGCGAATTGATTTAAACAGCTCCTTTACCTACCAAACGATAGCAAAACTTACTATTGTGGTAGTTGATATATTACTAAGTTTTAGTTTATATAGCAGCAAGTTAAGCTATTATGAAAGACTAAGAATTTTCATATTAGTTATAACACCGATAACTTCGATGATATTGAACTACTTTAGCTTAGACTAGAGCTACTTAGACTAGGCTAGCGAGCTTAGCCAAGGGCAAAAGTAGGTTATCGGTGAAATTTAAAATACGCGCACTTGTTTACACGGCGTAATTGTAATCATCTTATATAGCTTTTGCTAATTCAAACACAAGTTGTGCAATGTCTGCATGCAGGACGTGCACGTTCTATAAGAAGGCAAAGTATTCTTTTTTTAAATACTAACATTATTCTACGTAAGGAATACTTTGATTTTACACGAAGGCAGTATGTTCTTGGCACGGCTGTTCAGGTAATAGCTTGGTGGCCATTTTAGATGTGTTAGGATAGGAAAGGGTATGAGAACTGGGACCGAGTATGCGCACGAGGTAAGCAATAGATTGGTGGATGAGCCAGAAAATCTGTTAGGTTGACACTCAACGCATGAGCTTATTCACTTGATTAGTTTATTTACATGATTGTTTCAAACTAAATACTTATGCACATTTACAACGTTTATATATATATATATATAGATGACATTTAGGAATCAATTCACAAGCTAACACCTTCATTTTGTACATATATACACACGTAAATTATAACGTCTGACCGACTGGTGATGTGCTCCGTGCGTCTGATGACTATTATTAGATTTAAAACAAAATTTCATAATAATAAATTCGTACAGACCATAGCGACATCTGGTGCCTGGTAAACGTGGCAAAGGTTGAGCTCGCGTTGATTATCTCCACACTGTGCGTATTTCTGAATGTAAGTAAAGAGCGTCCGATCGTGTGATATTTGTGAAAATTTAGACAATGTTGATAGATCGTGCTTCTGAACGATGAGGTTTTCACGGTTGACTGCCAGCAAACGACCCTCCGTCGTCAACTGAAATCGTAAATAGGAATCAGGAAACGTGCGGTTGGTGAAAATAGAAGTAGCGATGAAAAAAGTGCTATGGTCAAATTTTTTTTTAACGTTCACCTTGTTTACATACTGTATATAGATTTAGTTTATTATTACTGTTTTTTTTTTTTTTAATAGAATATTTACAGAGTTTTAAGCTTAACTTTTGAAAACCCCTATCCTTTTGTCACCTTTCGACGAAGACGAGCACGGGCAAGGAGTAGGTTTGGGGTTTTTTTAGATATTTTTGGGACAACAAGTCAGTCACTTTAATTAGAAAATTAGTAATTTGGCCATAAAATAATCTATCAGTGCATATGTAGCAGCCAAACGTTTTCAATCAACATTGTTATATCAATTACAAAAATAGCAAAATTTGCATCGGCCTTTTCATTACTAAAGCCTAAGTGACTCGGTCAGCAGAATCTAAAGGCTTGTATGTGAAACGTTTCTATTTATGCTATCGGGCCACACGATAGCTGGAATCGAGAAAGGTTATAGGGTCACCGATACGTCAAGCTTTGTGTTAGGTTTAAAACAAGCAGTTTTATTAAAAGTTACTAGAAAAATCATATCTGGCTGTTTAGAATTAAAAACGTTAGAATTAAAAACGTCTACAGGCGCTAAAACTTGTCCCGAGAGAGCGTTGCTGAAACACAAATTCTTATAGCCTACAACTGCATTAGCGTTTCCAACTTACCGCAATAGCTTCCGCCGTCTGCTAAAGTTCTAGCAATATATAGGCATTAAGCGTCAAAGTGAAGCGCACCTTAAGAACTTTTAACCATTGTGACATCATTCAAAACGTTCATGCTTTACGAAGGCTGTATATACACATTTTGCTTTTTATCGTCATCGTAGTATTTCCTGTGGATGTCTCGGTTATAAAAAAAAAACCTGTGTGTTAAGCCAATTGAGTTTTGCAACGTTCGATTCTATTTGTGTATTCATATATGGCGTCTGTACATACGAACGCGTAACTGGTTGTGGCACCATCATGCAAACTGTAAAACATGGCAAATCAATGATTTATCGATTGCTTACGCTCTTCTGATAATAGATTTTTATGCTTTAAATAGTTATCATTTTCTTTCTTAAAACGGCCGCTTATACCTGCATCATAGGCCAAGGTGCATCAAAAAAGCTACTCACATGGTCTTTTGGGTCTTTTAAATCTATAGCCCTTTGAGGATCTTCCACTTTATCTCACAGAAATCCTCCCGGGCCTTTTAGAAGCCGCATAATAATATAAACCATCAGTATCAAGAAAAAAATTGAGTTTTTGAAGCTCTTCGCTCAGCGCGGGAAGATTGGATAATAAGATAATAACAAATTGCGAAAACGACGCATTGTGTTCCATCACGATGTTTTTTTTTGTCATTTTGTTATCAAAAGGTGGTTACTTTCTATTACTGAAAATGATAGGTGAAATTTAGATGCCATACCCTATACATATATATATACCGTTCTAGTTAATACAATTCTGATAACGGCAAACAAAATTTCGACAAACGTTATGACACATTTTTACTCGATTGTTGTACGAAGCCCGCAGGGTATTCTATTAGATTTGTTCGTCTAACCCATATGTTAGGAAGATTTTTATCAAGATATACTTTAATTAAAACGTTTCGTAATTATTGAAAATTGTATTTTCCGGGAAAACGGATTTATGCGGTAAATTCAAGGAAGTGGCATCGGTCATAATACTACGAAAAAAAGTTTAACTGTATACACGTAATTTCAGGACGTCCTATACATGAATATAAATAAGAACCTTGAAAACAAGTTTTCAGCGAGCTTCAACTGATATTTAATGTTTGTTTACGTGGAACAGAAACTGCTAACTTGATATAAGTTAAGTTTAGATGTTTTGCTTAAGCAGTCAGTGCTGTGCCTGTATATTCATTGTCGTAAATTATTTACCGAAGTATATAATAGCTACACTATAATTATCGATTAATTATTACCGGATCGTCCATCTGGAATCAGTACTGGAGCAGAAGAAGTCTTCTGTTCAGACTCGCATCGCCAGCTGATTTTATTGTCGGCGTACAGCTGCGTACGTGGTTAGGTAACTAACGGTTCCTCATAAATAACTTTAGACAGTTAACGTTATCCCCCTATGAAATATTGGCCCAAAGACCGCACCTCGATAAACATATGAAGAGTCCTTCACAGGAGTCTTCCAAGAAAAAGACCCTTGGATATAGTCGACTTATCGAGTGGCCATCTGTCACTATCAGATCATAAACACAAATACCTAAGTGTCGGATATTATTTTATACTTGATAGAATTGTTTTTTGCTATAAAGGCCACTCTTTGATATTGGATAGAGGTAATTATTTTATTAACAAGGTGATATAATATATCAAATATGTATTTCGACACGGTTGCAATACTTTGTTAAGATGCTATAATATTTCATGTACATTTATGTTGCACATGTAGAAAATGTGTCAACTCGATTAAATACGAATTCAGTCTCGTCGTTACCTACTAGTGACAACAGTAAAGAACGTCAAAACTAACTTTCTTTACTAACATATACTAATTAAAAAAAGTATGTAGTATAATCACATCAAATTAACTTACCCTAATTACTTGTGCTTGAAGTTTGCATTTATTTAAAAATGTATATTATATTTATGATTAATCGTTCACTAAGGGTAGCAATTGTTGTCTAACGAGTACCAAGTTCTTGCGGCAACCATAACTGTGCACTTCTTCAATATCCTGCCTATATATATAATGCATATAGAGCAGCCTCTTCTACAACTACGTTATCTAGAAAGCCTCGGAAAAATTTTAACTAGATAAAATGAACACGTCGGTTTGCCCCACAATTATGAAAACTCATAACTTGCAATGGGGCAATTGCCGTAGTTCGTCTCTTGCAGCCCCAAAAAAAGGCCGTTTGCATACATCTAAACTTGGAACTCATAATAGTCAACCTAGCACTTTCTATGACAGTCATTTCAAACCAACTGAATGAAGTTCCCGAAGTCCAGGTATTTCGAAAAATTCTCACCAGAAAGTGGCCTAAGCTGCTATTGGGTAATATATATGTAAAACTGCCTAGATCACTTTGTCATATGCCTGTCACGAAGAAAATATAGAAGCTACGTTGAAGCATTTAAATTTGCGACTTAAAAAGACAAGAGGATAAAATGATCGGAAAAACGTATGACGGATTCATCGCATCTTCAACAAAAAGTTACTAGAGTTTTGTTATGTCAACAATTGCTTGTAACGGAATAGTTAGCAGTTAATGTTCAGACGATGAAATCGCTACGATGTATACATTTAACAACATGTTCCGGTTAGGGATAAAAGAAAGTCGAAAAACACGACGAGATCATGCTTGCCTAAACTGATCATGATGAGTTTTCATCCACAGACCATAGCCATAGTTTTGCTTAAAACAGAGGCAACATTTTACACCGGCAAATTCTCGCTTTGAACTGCTGAAATCTCTTGAAATCATCTTCATACTTCACGGAACCGTATGCGTACGATCTACATTGCATAAACACTTTGATTTACTTTTTTTATCGTTTCAATTGGTGCACTGAATAAGTGGGAGCTATTTTCCAGTCTTTTATTCTGCAGTTATCTTAATAAACTGCGTCTATGCTATATATATATTTATATATTATATATATATATATATATATATATATATAACGTAACTGATCGATTTAATCAATACGCGCATTGTTCGGACTTTAGTGAAGCAATCAACGTAAATAACTGGCATATCTTAATAGTCGAATTTAGCTTCTCAAAGCGAACGCGAGTAATTATACGCGGTCGACCTACCTCAATTGAGACCTGGTGAGGCTGACCTCCTTTGGCCCTTCGGACCTCAGCCACTATCCAAGGAAGCATTGGAAGAGAATGAAAGGACTCAAATCGAATTGAACCTAAGTAAAGGCAGCCCTTGTAACTATGAAACGTTGCTGGCATATTGAACGATTTTAACAATTTCGCAATATTCACCGAACTTTCTCTAAAACACAGGCACAGTCCAATCTTCATCCATTTTTATCATACCACCCACCAATAACGCGCAGCCATTACACCTATGTCAGTGAGCCTTCAACAATAATGGCAAATTCCTTAGAAGTATACAAGTAGTCGTATGACTTGAGTTCGGTTCGCCTACTTTTGTCGAGGTGCCAATAAACAGCAGGTAGCATAGGCTCCTTTTTCTCTCGCAAGTATGACACCTACTTTGTTCTCAACTTCTTGTAACGTAACACAACGGCGACGACCAGTAAGTGATAATTTTGAAGGCTCTTCGCAATGAGTTCTTCGACAATTGCTAAAGCAAGTTGTTTTAAGGGTTAGGCGTACCGCTTGCAAAGGCCGCAGGACGATCCCACAGCTCATACAGCTTGGAAACGCCGTCTAAGCCAATAAGCTAAACATTGTGGAAGGATGTTTAGCTAATGGTCATCTGGGCAACAACAGGGTGTCGTAGAGTCATAGTCATACCACTCGTTCTACCATTTCTTCTTCTGGCTTTAACTGGATGACTCTTCACATGAGGGTATAGCCGATGCTGTTATGCTCAACTCACCGCAGCCCTTTCTCGTAAGCGAAAACCCAAGAAGCAGTGGTTACTTTTGCACTCATTGCCTATGAACGACCGACCGGCAGTCTCGACAGGCCGTCTATAAGGCAGACCTAGCTAGTTCATACACAAGATGCTTTCTGTATGGCGATCTGCAATAATTAGTAGAACAGCGGCATTACATGTACATGGATAGTGATCATTAGAGAAAGGTATCGATAAGTGTAAGCAAGCTAACTTAAAAACAGACACCTAGTGTTAATATTAGTCAGCATTCTGATACGGAACAGCTGCTTATCGCTCATGTCAATATCCCAGATAATCCATCACTACTGAAAGACGCATTCGCTTCGAACTTCCTGTGTAGCAGCAGCCTGATATAGCTTTGGATAGAAAAAAACTTCTAGCAAAATCTTGCTTTTTATATGCGTTTAATTGCGAACTACTATAGGGATGTACTAAACCATTTTCAAATAGCTTCAGAGCTCGATTTCTATTCTAGAAAAGCCTTCGCCTGAACTTTCTTCAATGCATAGTATCGCAATAGCTAATCTCAATTGATATGACTCAGCAAACTACGAGATCGAATTTTTGGTACCTAATCAGAGTGTGCTTTCATTGGCAGACGACGACTCTGCTCGAAAGGTTTCCTTCTACAGACGATGACAGTCTGAGGAGATCTATTCACGATAGGTGAAATTACCTCGAAAATGCACGAGGTCAAAATGACAGCTAAAAATGTTTCTTCCGTTATTATGGTATATTGAATTTGACGCATTTTTTCAAGTATTAAGACGTATGATTTGCATACGTTTGCCATTACTGTGCTAACAGTATGTTGGCCTCAAAGTGGGCCTTAGTTAGCAGCACTAGATTTCGGACGTGATGCCTGGCCGAAAGTCAATGCTTTTTCTCAAAGCAAAAAAAAAAAAGCTTTTTAGTATTTATTTACAGCTTAAATATACTATCAAAAAGCAATACAACTCTTTGGGAGTAAGAGTTATACACATCCGTTTTGAAGGCTTATTTTGACGCAACTCTTTCTCTTATTTTCATGCTTATATATAGATATATATATCGCACAAACCTGAACAGGAAATAGGTCCACCAACAACTATCTTACAGGTGATTAGTCCTTTTCATAAAATCTCATAACAATTTCAAAGGCTTGCCATTTTTAGCATTAGCTTTCCTTGAAGAGAATTTTCCTTGTGCTCTTTTTTTCTCGTTTTTACGAATTCGGCACCACATGTTACCTTTCAGCCCATTAAAGTTCGGTTTCGGTCTCGAACAGGCTCGTATAACTTACTGGTCACCTACCTAAAGGCTGTTTCCTTGTGATGGTGCAGGCAGAAGTTCCACAAAGGACATGAATGTGCTTTACATATTTCTATTGTTTTGCAGCAAACGCCGGTATTAAGCGTGCACGCATTAGACTACACACCTACACTTATCAATCCACTCTTCGAGGACATTTTTAATTAGTTGAAAGTCATTAGATATAACATGAAAAGTGGATTCGTGTTTTAGCTCCTACTACAGGCAAATACTATATGTGAAATCGAACCTAACACTTTATGATAAATACACTAACATTTAAAGAGGATTTTCCTGGTTTCCCAGGTTTCAGGTTGAGAGCCCAGGTTTCAGAAAAAGGCGACAATTATTTAGACAATTGACTATGTCACTTCCCCAGTGGTCACTGCGACATTGTGCTTTTTCTTAGTTAACCTCTAAATCTTCTATTTAAGGAAACGTATATGATTACGCTTGAAAAAAAAATACGTAAAGTTTATAGAAAATTGTAGGAGCTTTACTTACATAGGAGCTGTAGGATTCTGCTAAGGATAAGGATGTGCTAGGGTATAAGAAACCCTAGCATAAATAAAGTGGGCTTTTTCGCCGAAGGTATAGTAAATTTCTTGCGAAGCTGGTCACAGTGAGTGTAAAGCGCATACATAATCCAGCTTGAGATGGGGCGAAAGGTTTGTCCACGCTTTCGTCATCATAAACTGTATAGCGAAAAACCATAGTAAAGCGGTAAGTCAACCTATGGTGATCTGCGTTTTTCTTTTCCTGTAATTTAGTTTCGACAACTCAGATGAAAAGAAGCAAGCCACTAAACAGGTCAATTTGAAGAATCATTACGTTTCTTCTAGGGACTCTAAACGCAGTGAAACTCGCTATCATAACACACAACGTTGGCCATGACCACTACAGACCTGTTGAGGGTAAACGTAGTTTTGCTGTATATAACCCTTTGGCTTCCCAGCTAGATAGTATCTCAAACAGAGTTCATAAAATTAACGAATTTGTAAAAAAAAACGCCTCAGAAGAGGTATTTCCGCCAATCAGCTATATTGTACTGACAGATAGGTCAGTCTGAAGCATGCATAGGCAAACTCCTGAAGCACGCCGTGACGGTGCTATCTTTTTTACCTTTATCAGATTATCAGTTGCGAAAATTCAAGGAGAGACTGCGGATTCACGCACCATATCTTTATCCTCACTGTCGCAAGGGTTTTAACATAAAAGTGGGGCTTTTCATAACTTACGAGAGTACAACTACAACTTTTTCCCTATTGCCGTTTCAGGATATTAAACATCTTAGCCCTGTAATAGGGTTAGCCGAGCTTACAGTATACCAACAAGAAATAATGATGTCCTCTCATTTTTCACCTATCTTTTTCGAATTTTATGTCCGCTACTGCTGTTCGGCATTCCATAGGACGATTGGCTTCCGGTACGAAGCGAAGTATGCCTACGCCCGAATTCGAACTTAGACATCAACGTGTTTCTGTTCCTTCATTTACTTTCATTCAACCTATTACACATTATAAACGTTTACGATCAACGTGACCAATCACGTATGCCATCGGTTTCTGATATATCCAATAACGTTTCCGTTTCTGCATTTACGTGCCAGCCTGATTGATGACAGATTCAACACGAATCACGCTGTTCGTTCAGCCCGGAAAACATACGCATTCCCGGCGCAACGACGCGCACACCCATACCGCCAGTATAAAAATCATAGTTTTTAAAAACAAACAAATACATTTAACTATACGCTATTGTTTCCTTTAAACAATTCCACGTGGGCAAAGGCAAGTTATAGTAATATTTTCCCATAATATTTTTATATCACTTTTGTCTTAGTTAATAGTTTCGATCCCACGAATAAGTGCACAGTCCTGAAAAATGTCAAGGAATCGCTTTCACAAATAAATGATATATGCATAAATATTAAAAGTAATAACATAAGTCTTTTGAAACGGTTTACATACAGTCTACTGTATCATACAATGAATTTATACATGGAAAACATGATTACGCTGTGTTTATTTTCAAACTTAATTTAACTAACTTTTTATATTTTTATTAAGCTGTCCCATCATGCTCTGGAGCTTCAACATAACAATAAAGATAATAATATTTATTTCACGCAGTTAATTTAAATATGCAACGTGAAGTGGACGAGAAAGACATTCCTTTTTTTTTTTTCAAATATATTGTACCCGCATATTGTGTTTATTTATTTTATTTAAACAAAAATATTATATAACCTAGAATTACCCAGGCGAACATTGCTGTAGTGATACGTGCAGTAGCAGATGTGTGTTTCTACTATAACTCCAAAATCCATCGTGGTTACATACTCATAAGGACGTCTGTGCACACTAAATGGGTACCCTATCGACCATAACCCGCTTGTTACTTCCGTTCCCTCCAGGCTCAATAAAACTATCCTATTTTATAGCAAAACCAAGCACGAATTTACGGTCGGGGTACGTGTCAGGAAGGTATAAACTTTGCAAAACGTCACATTTTAAAAAACGATTCCTCCGTAAAGCGGCTACAACGCTACGGGATTCTGCTGACGGACTGAACAAGGATAGAAACCAGGTAAGCTGACGAAGTAATATAGTTGATACGGTGCTGCAATCTTCAGAAAGCCCATCTTGAAGTTGTGGCTCATACTCTAGGAAGTAAAGATGACCGCCCTGAAAAATTCAAATCGAAAAAAAGCTTCAAGTTATAAAAACCTATTTGTTCAACAAAGCCTTGACAACGACAGGATCCTGTCTTTTTCGTTTCTATTTGAAGTCTCAGTAGTATTTTTAAAATGTGTAGGTACTTCTTATTTCCCTTCACCGCCTACTTGCATTCCGGACCCTGATTGTTAATGGGAATTTTTATTTTCTATTCGTATAAAAATGCCGTTAGACGAAGAGAAGGTTACATGTTACCCGCCATTTAGGTTTCAAATTTCGTTTACCGCCATTCTTTTTGAGAGAAAGAAAACATGAGAGCGTGTGTTTCAAAATGAAATTCTTCAGCCTCTTGTTTTGCATCCGTATAGAAGCGCTTCTACTAGTTTTGTACTCAGATTGAGTAGATTTATGGATGCACATATCATATAGTTAGTTTTTTCCACTTATGTTATGTAACTTTTAAGTTACTGGTAGTGCGCATTTAAGCCAAATATCGTTATCTCGGATCTGCATTTTCGAGCCTTCCGAATTCTAGCTCAGCGGTGCAAACTACTAGATTATTTCAGGCCTACCTCAGCAAGAACTCTATGGATATCTCCAATATGAAAGTCGATATCCCACGAACTGCACAGCATTAAAGTTACAACAACAGCATCAAAAGATCCGTCGGAGAACTTGCTGAGCGAGTTGAGGTTTCCTATGCTCATATAACTTCTTTTTCCACTTACTCGTCGAAGCGATCGATCCTCGCAAACGATTGTATTTTGGCTATCTGAAAATTTTTAACAATGACGTGAAATTTAATAGAAACACACATTTAAAATACACAGATAATGTAAGACTTTTTTTTAAAAGAAAACATTATAGGAGGAAGGATTTTTTTAATACATTGTTTTTATAGTTCAACAGAGTAAGTGTGTTAAAGTGTAATAATGGTGGTAGTTACTGATAACAAACAAGGTTGTTTGTACAAACTAAAACTTCGAAACACTTTTTTTTTTCTTAGAAAATGCGGGCGAATGCATGTACGCACTCTCTGGGCAGCCTAAACCGTCCTTCCATACGATGTACATAATAGGTACCCAAGATTGAGCTTATCCTCTACCGTTAGTTTGATTAAAGATATCCCTAAAAGGGGGATCTCAAACAATATACTCATAAAGAAGCCACCATCCCCTGTTGGGCCTCCTTGAAGGTCCAGCATTGCTGCTCGCATTACTTCGGAGCCTTTGAGGGTAATATAGAGTGTTTTTGTTTGTTCTATTGCTCGCTCGAGAGCTGCCTCCGTTGGGGCTAGTTTGTACTCTGTTCTATTTTCATCGTGTTTTTTGACGTTCTTCATCAGAACGTCGACAAAGAGTGATTCCTAATCTCCAACAAAGTGAAGTTCCACGTTGTTAATGTTTTAATTTCTACCTTGCGCGCGCCCCCTCTGTAGACCTCGCTTAATTGCCATTGAGGTGCCCGTTTCTTAATGAAAGTATTTCGCTACCGACAAGGCCTGCTTCTGCTCGATTTTCGCTCAAGCCTTCTTTTGTGATGTATCTTATGATCATAACACAGGTTTTTAGCAAACCGATGTGTCGGAATTCCGACGGCCATTATTTCCTTTATTATCTAGCAAGATTCATTTAACGAATCTGCTGTTTCCTTTCAGAAAGAAGTTGATTCGGGGTCTGGCATTAACGCGAATAAATAAATACATGGTTCCTTTTGTTCAGTTCTGCATTTTACCAATAAATAAAGCGCCTATTCTATCTCTATGAGAAGTGTCTCGTGCCATCGCTTCGTAGGGCTTTACCAGGATATGCTCGAGTGTGTTGTCATTTATACTCGCTGCTTGTTCCTTACATTCTTTGCCTATTTCTCCTATTAGTCAAACACCATTGATCTTATGCTTATGCTATATTTTTATAAGAGGAACATGACTTAGGGTTTTATCATCGATGTGAACATTGAAGAAGATATATCTGTGGTCACTTCTGATTGGTCGTCGTCTGGTCGCTATTCTTTTGCTAGAGGAAAGACGCTTGGGATTATTATCGTAAAGTCAACGAAAGATTGTGGTTCTCTTCCGTCATTGACAACCAGAAGGTTTCTTTCGGCCATTAGTTTTTGTATTGGGAAATCTCTTGCGGGCGAGCGTCTGTAGCCTTATTACATTAAAGTCTTCTGTTAGGATAATCTTTCTCTGAGTGTCCACACTTGTAACCAATTCGCTTAGAAATCGTTCAAGCTATCCTTCTACTCGATTTAGTAAATGGTATTGGCTGTAAATCATTGCTACCCCTTTAATATCTAACCATCATCGGCCCTTAAGCATTTCATATAGGTCTAACCCCCAGCATACGGCACCGCAAATTCGCTTTGAAGTTATGTTTAGGGAATTAGTCTTAGCAGGTACAAGGAGTTTTTGACTAGCCAAGCCTACGCATTAAAAATGATCGAAATCTGCTGGTATGCTTCTTACCCATTTATATATATATATATATATACAAAGTGGGGAGCATCTATTTTGGGTCGAACTTTGCTAGGCTACTTCTCGCAGTAGATACGTGCTTAGCCGCTACTTCAGTCACGAAAAAAAAGCAGGTCTTTCTAAAACCAAACAACAAATTCATTATGGGGAAGACGATTTGTGTTCAAATCACCTGTTATCCAATCTCTTCATGTTGGAGGAATCCCCATCAAAACTAAAAAGTTCCTTTTTCATCTGGAGTCAACGACCTAGGTAATTACCAGTTCGTATGCTGCGTCTAATAAATCCGAAAAAGATTTCAATGGAGCAGACCGAAATATCCTCAAAAGAATTTAACTTCAAAAGGCTTGAAGCTTATCAAAATGGCTGAGGAAACAATTTCTGATACATATAGACTTCTTAATATTGATATTAAAGGCCGTCTTAGAGGCCAGGAAATTGATTCAGTCGATTAAACTGTTGGACTTCTTAGCCATTTTCAGCTTTTGCATTTTGAAAATTCCCGCCTTACGGAAATCTAATTCCGTCGGACTTTAGTGTACATAGTTTATTTGAACGACATTTCGTCAAGTCTATACAAATATCGCGTGAAGCACGGTTATTCTCGACAGGTTATTTGCGGATTAAAGAAAGAATATTTTGAAAATGGCTAAATAAGTATGAATCTTAAGGTGAATATGTTATGCATTAGATTGAATAGACACGATCACTAAGAAAAATTTGTTTAACTATTTGTTTCGATTTAGATGTAGTTCTAGAACAACCCACAAGGAAAATGTCCACTTTAGATAGAGATATATATGTATATAAAGTATCAGCCATTTTTCCAAGTGGATCGGTTTAAACTGATTTATTTCATGTGATATGAGCCGCGCCGTCGTTGGTATCACTTTAAATCTAGGATTTGGCAGTAGTAGATGTGTTAATGCTGTTGGAATGCCTTTATTCAGATTTAGGCAGAATGTCGTGAGGATGTATGAAGTTTCTGCGAAAGTTTATTCCATTTTACAGTTTTAGTAGGATAAAAGCACAAAAAGGTGGTCAAAGCCTATAAGAAAATTGGGCTGTTCGTGGTCAAAATGCATTATTAAAACAAAGGGTCTACAGATGATTTTGTAGAAATTCCGATATGAAAGATTGCCGATCGGAACGGTCGAAAAATATTGACTGCAAAAGCATGACAGGTGAATGGTCATGATACTAAGGAATTAAAGATCGGCCGCCAGACAGTTTCAAATCGTTTGAGAGAAACCGGGTACAAAAAAGCTCGGTTTTTGAATGCCGCATTAATTGACGCAAAATAATGTACTAGGTCGTACTCCGATCTGCGAAGCTCGACAAAAACGCAATGAGATTGAGCCATCACATACGACAATCATGCCCACATAAGAAATGTGTTCTACAGTCTGTGACAAAAGCCCAACTGACGCCAAAACAGGCGATTGCTATAGGTTTGGTGGGATTGAGGAGTGCATTATGAGCTGCTGGCGTTTATGAATCGAACCTATGCTAGCAGTAACTGACAAGATTGCAACAAGCTGATGAAAAAAATCAACTAGAACGGAAAAGGCGTTGTCTTCTACTATGACGATGTCAGACTATATACAGCTTTAGCTACCCAGCAAAACTTGGGTGGGAAATTTTAAGGCACCCTTTCTATAGCCCTGACATTGCACCGTCAAACTGTTATCCATTTTGATCTGTACAGAACTTCCTTAATGGTGCTAATTTAGCTTTAATGGAAAGATGCAGAAATCACTCGCGGCAATCTTTCGCCCAGAAGCCGCGGAAGCTTTACAATGGTGGAAGTATGATGCAGGCAAAAAAGTGACGGAAGATCATCGATCGAAGAAATGGCCCATATGTAGTTGCATAGTATTATTTTGAAATATAAAAAACCCCTTGTTTCAGTGTCGGCTTAGTTATCGTCAATACTTTTCTGGCAACGGTAGATAAACATATAACTTCAAATGCATTCAAAACAAATACATTGTCTACTGTATTGAGTGTACTCAACAATATATACATACTTATTACTTACAATATGGGAAGTGCTTATGATTTGATGTGAGAAGTGGATTAACACAGATTTCAAGGATACGCAGTTCATCGAGTTCCGAGGGGCTGCATTTTTGCGTTAGCAAACTTGGATCAAGAACATCGACGTCAGGCATCGCTGCAGAAGGTTTATTGACTGATCTTTTCGAATGACGAATTTCCCTTAGATGCCAGAATAGATCCTTTTTGTACGGTTCCATTGCCCAATATATGTCTGGAAACAGAAAGAGATATTCAACGGTTATTAGTTCGAGTTGCAGAACGTTAATATACCTATTTATGCTTTTGTTGAAGTATCCTAGGTAAGTCCAGCAAGACCCACTTCGGCTGGACTCCAACAAGTCGTTGATGCTATACCGAAAAAGATGATTCCGAGGGTTTTTTTTTAGCACTAAAATAGAAATAGCTAAAGAATGGAAAAACGTTTCTTTAGAGCTCTAAAAGTAATTACTTTATTGCAAGACTAATTTTAGAGCTGCAAGAATATTCTGCGGTACCCAATTCAACCGTTTACTTAATTTTCACCGACAAACTGTATTTTTTTCGTAAAAATGGTAAAATGTTTGTTTCAATTAACTTTTTTCATTTCGCCATCAGATTGAGACATCTTAGCTACCGCGAATATCTCCAGAATCAAGTACCGTCGTCGATACAAACAACTGCGCACGATTAAAGGAAACTATACGTACGCAGAAGCTGAATCTGAAATTTTAGATTTTGATTACATCAAATATCTTCAAAAAATCAGTTAGATAACGTCTACTGTTTGGACTTATACAAATTTACTATTAATAAAATATTCAATTGCCTACTTACCTGGATCGTACCGAGACCGGTCTGCTAGTACATAAGATTTGAAGAAATAGATAATTGAATTCATCTTGACAACGGTAAGAAGAACGAATGAATATCGTCGTTCCAGTTGAGATTATCATGTCCATTTACCAAACTATAGTTACGTAACTTCTTACAGAACTGCAGAACTTAACTGCAGAAAACAATGGTTCCAACAAGACTAGATTCATTGTAGAAACTCAGCACGAAGCTCAATTCACATCATTCGTTTGACGTCGTGTATATATATATATTCTATTCTCAACCAGTCTGGAAGATTTACTCGACCACCTGAAAATGACAATAAAGATGCCTGGTAAGTTGTATCGACATATGAGAGTATTGTGTTGTTTGTTCCTCGGACTAGATAAATATTTCAACGAAGCCTTTTATATAAGCCAAGCAAGAAATATCTATTGTGACGGCCATGTATATTTAATACGACAATAATTCACCGCGATTACAGTTTTGATTGGCCAGAAGCATTCACTAGTCACGTTTAAAATATTCCTTCTTGATCCATAGATGACTTCTTAAAATAACCATGCGTCAATCGATATTGGTAAGTACAAGCTTGTTAGGGTGTTGCTACATACAAAAATTCTACCGGCATTAGATTGTGGACTGACAGCAAAGCAAACGTCCCAAAAATGCATAGGCTAAAAAAGGGGGGCAAAATGCTAAAAAAAAAAAAAAAGAAAAAGTCTTGAAAATACTAGCGGTTGGAGCTTATCGGAAGAGCCCAATCAACAGTTAATACTCTTATCTTAAATGGAAAAATATACGTGTATAGCGGTAAACTAAGCCGTAGACATCATGTACCAAAATAAATATTGAACATCTAAAATGTGTCTATTTGTTGTCTGATTGAATGAAATGTATCTTCTAGGGAACTTCTGGCTACCGCGAACGAAACGAACTATCTGAGCAGTACGCGATATCACGCAGCCGCATGTCGAGTTATTAAACATCATAGAGCTATCTGAAAAGCGTAGGGGCAGTTACGCGTGAGCAGAGCAAAATACACAAACGGAATAATGATCCCAGGATCTCACGATACCCAGAGTTACAGATTTAGTCAACATGAAGACGTATTAAGTTATAAATAGTATCTCCTGCAAGTCCAGATTTTATGGAAGGCTGAAAGAACCAAGGTAGTTCAAGTTACTATTAGCAAAGGCATCGACTATTTTTTTTTACGTCAAATTTACTTCGTTAATTAAACAGTATTGAGGAAGCAACCTATTTAATTGGATGGTAGCAGAATAGGAGCAAATTAGAATCATATTTTCCTACACACTTAGACACACCTACCAGAAGAACCTTACTTAAGACTAATTGCTCTTACGAGACGCCCATTCAATAAATGTAACTAATGGAGCAGTAGTTGGATAAAATTAACTATCGTACCGTATCCCCAAGGGGTTCACGCCCTTTCTTACGATTACACCCGTTCAACAAAGCTCGTCTGTCTGCAAATGATTTCATCTGATGAGCTGAGAACGAATACCTGTAAAGGTGGACGGGCAATTTGCGATAAATGCATATTCACACAGCACTATATATGGTTAAAAACACAGCACTGAGGACTATATTTATTGAATTATGGGGTGAATAGACTTAATGTAAGCAAGAAAGAAAGAGGTGCTTAGTCTCAAAATGACGGAAGTGGTTACTTTACGTGGTTCACGCAGTCGGCCGGCCGTTGGCCACCGGCCGACCGTTGACCACCGCACGGCAGGCTCAGACGCCAACAACAGCAGGCTAGCCAGCCAAGTAGGCGGTCGGTCGGTCGGGCGGTTAACAAGGGAGATAGAGGACGGAGCACAGAGGCCATCTTAGAGGGAGGAGAGACCGCAGGAGAAAAGCTCGAACCTCCTCTACTCCGCCCTTTCCGGTTCCCCTTGCCTTGTACCGGGAAAGGGGATACAGTAAACTGTACAAGGTTAAGCAGCTATTTCATGATGTCGCATCCTATAAAGTATTATAAATCTTAGTTCTCTCGAGCTACTGCACATATCAACGACTCGGACGAGGTTATTAACCAATGCTGTTGTTTGGGACTGAAAGAGAAGTTGCTGGGCATTGTCCCGAAGCGGAAAAGCCATGCTAGTTCACACAAGCAACGCACTCTCACTTACTCATAACGCCGGAGCAATACGGGAAAGGGAAGTCGGCATACGTCAACTACTATTTGTAAACTGTCAGCTGACTGCCGGTTCATTAACTTGCATTTCATCGAGTTCCTTTTTCTCGCTGCCGCTTCTGGCGTCCGACTCGCACTGCAGGTGACTTGCAGGATAGAGAGACGCATAGTTTTCGTTAGCGTTAAGTACTAGGCTGTTTCGAGGGCAGTGATACAAGCGTATTCCATTGCTGCCCTAAATGTTGGTCCACTGAATTGATCATACACCGCCCTTCACAACGTGAAGAGTACCAGAATAGTTTATTATTTTCAACCGTTTGACGCAATAGGGCTTTTTGTCAAAGGTAAGTAAGTGAATAATTCGATAACTTTTACTTTTTGTTATTAACCGTAATTTTAGCTCTTCATAAATAATTGAGTTTTGTTCCAAGTTTTTTTAATAGGTAACACGCTTTTTTTAAAATCTCAATTATAATGCTTCTTTAATCACGGTGGTTATATTGTATGCCGTTGAGAATCGAAATGATATATGCAAAAAACAAATCTCAATCCTTCTTTTAATGGTTACTGCCATTTAAGACCGTTGGGATCTACCAGTATCGTATAAGGCTGTTTGACAAGAAACGCTAGCGCGATCATTTCTTGGAGGTTATCTCGCCCATCTTTCACGCGAGACCAGGCAGGTTATTGCTCTCTACTGGGTGCAAAGTAGCTCTAACATATTTTGCGCGAAAAGCTTTCATTGTGCGTGTCGCCGTAACACACTACGATCGTTTATTGTAAGAATCAGTAACGTTCTATAAATTAAATAAATATTAAAAAAAGCACGAAAATTTTATAGTCATTAAGAATATCTATATTTCCAGCGCGGGTAAAAAAAGAGTTTTGTGAAGTGATGTGATATCAACAATGCAAATTATTGAAACTAGTACATAACCATCAATTAACTGAACATATGACGTAAGTAAACGTACCGCATTTGGCGTATGGTGAGCTCGTCGAGTCTACCACCATCGTATCCCTCCATCACCACCAGCAAACGACTCCGCTCGATCTATTTTTTTACGTTATTTTATTAGATTGAAGAGCTAAAATGCTCGAGTTCGTTTGTAGTCGTTTGTAAAAGCTAACAACGTTTGTATCTGCTGAATTAAATATAATAATTGGAATGGGCAGTGTCATTATTTTGCAAACGATAATCTCTGTTGTTACATTTACGATACTTAGTAAATTAATTACTTGACAAATAGCGAAGTAAGTGCTCAGAGACGATGGCCAGCTAAATTAACCAATCGAGTTCTGTGACGCTACTCAGTGACGCATAAGCATAGCGTTACGGCTTTAAGTGCACCTCTTACAACAGTTAACGCGCGTACTAATAATACCTTAGAATCAATAAGATGGGTCTGATACCTTGTAGTGAACAACACGGCAGATGTCAGTAGTTCGGTAATAATAATATAGATGCAAATCAATTTATTACCCTGAAAGATCCATTAAGAATCTATCCCCATTTAGATATTCGATAGAGCTCCTCGACTGATCGAACTAATATGGCGCTTAGTTACAGTGCTATGATATAATCTGTCGTTCAGTCTCTGACGTTGCCTTCTTGGAAGTACTGCGTGGAACTGCTTAAGGTAACTTTTTTTAGGTTACGTCGTCCTGTTATGTAATATCTAGGCGTAGGCAACATCTATTTAAAACTAAATGCTTTTATTTGTAGTTTTTAATTACAACGTAGACAACAAATCAGAAAATTATAATTGCTGTGAAAAGAGAGATGTTAAAAAAGGGCGTCGTAGAATGAACTTTTTCAAAGAACAGATACCAAAAGTTTGAAAATCTCTCGTCAGTTGTCGAAAATTCTCTACAACGTATTATGTATAGTGAGTAGGCTCGTAGTGCTACGTACAGGAGAGCTGGTGTGCGCAATAATCAAACGGTCGAACGAAGTAGCTATAGCAGATATATCGTATATGCGAGCTTCCGGACGTCCATTGTTGCGCTCTATCCTCAATCAATTTTTGTGACTTCGAAAATCGAGCCAGGCCCAATGAGCTGCTGAGCGTTTTATATTTCGTTAATTTACACCGCCACGGCTGTAACATCACGTCCTAAATTGAATTCGAGACCTGGGCGATTGCAACTCCCACCCATTACAAGTTCTCGCAGATTCTCCAAAAATTACGGGTCGTTTTTTGCGCAAGGGTGAGTGAATCCAGGGAAGCAAGGATAACAATGTCCCTGTGCTCCCGTACATTGCGGCTTACAGGGTTGACTGTATGCCGATTTTATACAAGAACGCTAGCGCTAGTACACATATATATTACTGCTCCAGAGCCATCGATTTCGACCGAACGGCCAACAGGATAGTGCCGGCGTCATTCGGGCCACAGTCTACTTCAATAGTAATTCTTTTGACACTCGAGTCTTCCTGACTAATATTCTGAACAACCATGTACCACGTCTAACAATTAGAAAATGTATGCTTTTTGTAAAAATCTATAGCCAATCAATATAATTATTACATTTAGAATTAATCAATGCGTTTTGGTGAAAAAAAAAACATGAATCGCTGATTTAAATTTTTGCCATGTGATATATAACTGTTGTGAGGAACACTTGAAAAAAGTTTAAATTTAAACTTAAAAGAAAAACTATATGTATACTATAGTTGCTTCCCCTTTTGGCCATCAAGCAGTAATAGGCTAAAATACCATACCCTTTTCTGACAACAGCCTTTAGAATCATAAAATTTCCCGATAGTAAAAGGTAAAGCCGTCTCTAACCAGTCCTATTTTTTCAGATGTGTCCATATAGAAAGTATTTGCATCTACATTATGCAGTCAATTTTACACAGTGGGGGACTAACGACCAATAGCTACTCAAAAATTGTTATGTCTGGTCAACCCAAGCCTATGGTAAAGTATAAGATTGTTTGTTCAGGTTCATATTCAGGTTTTAACTTGATTATGTGTGGCCTGCATTAAAATCTCATGTGTAGTTCATAACTCACAAGCACTTTAGTCAGAATTAAGTTATTTTGCTTACGAAACCAGAGTGAAAATCAAAAAGAAGCTCATGATAAGAACACAGGCAGTCTTTAGTCAATAAACAGCAACATTAATATTTTTAGCGCTATTTAGCCCCGCAAAGCCTTGCCCCTTGTATTCGTACTCGTTTGGACCTCATATTTAAGCTCTTTATTACAGCTATCCTTTTTCATCTATCTAGCTAAATTTTCAACGATGTTTTCTGCTATTAAGAGTTTCTGCTGCTGTAGTGCCGACCAGCTGCTAATATTAAATATAGTGGTTACACAAATAATTGTTCAGTAAACGTTTACTAATCAGGTTAGCTAGAAAACGGTAGATGTGCTATCTTTAATTCTCTTAAAGCAAAATAAGACCATTTAGCAGTAAAGAGCCTGAAATCGCCTAAAAAGGACACCGTTTACGAGCACTACTACTCACAATATGACCAGCTTCTCGTACTACAAACATTTAAAAAAAGTACTCGACGAAGAGCAGAGTGGCGATGTGCAGACGGAAGAACTTCTTCAGAAAGAGTATCAGCTATCACAAGGGCAATGTGACATAGCTTCAGAGATGCACCCTCTCAGCAGTGGCGAGACACGAAGGGATCAAATAATGATTGAGTCATCGAAAAAGATAAGCCAGCAGGAACGTTCATTTACCAAGAGGGCCATTATTGTGATAATATTGTGGCGCTATTTTCACTCTGGTAATCAGGGCAAGATTATACAGAATTTTTGTTTTTTGCTACCGTCCTATAGGTTTTGTTTTACGGGAAGTCGTAGTGAAGCTAATTTGATTCAATGCATGGTTATTTATTGAATCAGTCCAGCAGTTTAATAGAACAGTTTTGCCGTTATGGCGCAAAATCGTTCTTCTATTCTTCACCTAGTCAATGTCAAAAACATACAATTCAACCTAATGATGAAGTAGAGATGAAGATTTTTACGCTGATATGGATACACCTAGGCATTTTAGGCTCGTATGATCCTGCCTGGTAGATCCTGAACCAAAGCAAATTAGTACATTCGGTATAATATGTAACTCTCAAGAGGTACTTATATAAGTCTTCTTTGAGATACAGATTTTGTCTAGTTTGACCCTCTAATACCAAACGCTACATATATATCAAACTCATTAATACGTTGTCTTGGATATTGCCATCGACTTGTGCCCTGCAACTAGGCGAGTCGGTACTTGAGAATCTTAAATACAGCAGACAATCTTTTCAATTTCAAATAAGAGTTTATTCATTAGAGGATAATCAGATATTTGATCAAATTAACTAAATTGAACATCAACGAAAAAAATTGCTTTTCCCGATTTTTGCTGTTTCGGTAATATAATTGTATGCATCAACGCCTTAGTTTATGTTAAAGACATTGTTTATGTGGCCATAGATAATAGAGATACAGCTTCCATGGAACTGAAAAAAGCTTGCCCCTGTACACGTATGAACTCCCACTTTACGAACATTTAACAGATTTCCTCAGATAGTCGTCATTCAACTAGAATCTTCAAACTTCCTAAATGGCATCGGTTTACCTAGGAACGTTTCTAGTAAGAACCGATTATTTTCAAAATTTAACATGTTGAAACAGCTTATTAGTCCTTGCGAACGGAGGCTCGATCGGTGCAGCACATAAGGAATCTCAATCCGCCGCAGTGATTTTTACAGATCTTGTGGTGCGATATCAGAACTGTTAGAATAGGACAAGCCAGGCAGGCTAACGTAAATCGAGAAGGTGCTTTTATGACAATTACGTGCTAAAGAACTCTTTTTTTTTTGAACGGGATAGACCCCTTTCTGCTTGCGCATGTATCTTATTCCTATGTGTGATATTGTTGGTGTGAGTTAGTGAAACTGATCAGTACAAATATAAAATTGTAGGGTGTTCTAAGTTCTGTTCAAAGTTAGTTGTTAAGGGGGCAATTTAGCTAGACATTTTTTCCAATAAGACCATACGGTACTGGAACTGAGATTATGCACGTGTAGAAAGGGCCTGCGCCTTTATGTTTATAACTATAAATAACTTTCAGCAAAGAATCATATAATGAAAACTGTTGATCCACTGTGCTTAATTTTTGGGTTCTGGGACGGAATTGCTTAGAACCTTTTCAGTATGGATGTTCTTCTAGATTCATACATTTTCCCCTGTTCGTAATCAGCTGTTTCCCGATATTGCATACAATTTTTCGTTTATTTCATCGTAAAGAGTAAAAAAAAATATTGACAGCCTATAGTCTTATTGAGAAAACTGTTTGATTGAGTAATTTTGCCTCTTTTGATGAGTTATGGAGATTTTCACGGAGATTTGAAGCACCATGTGAGAGGCAATGTTTCGAGTTGCTCTGCAGAAGTGTCCACCAGAGGAGGTACTACGCAGCTCGAACCGAAAGCGGGTTTTGATATTTCTTCGTTAGGCCTCGGCTGTGCGTTTTGCAATCTCGGTCTGTCAATCGCACTCACAAATCAAAATAGCTCCCGGATTGATGTATTCTCGTTTACCCGTATCAAACACATTCACACGGATAAGGCTGTATCTAGGCGATAGTACGAGCGCTCATCACATAAAATACGGCATAGGTTTGATGGTTCAAGCTAAGGATAGGAGACTGTGCCAAACAAAGCTTTGTGGGATTTTGGTGGGACAAAAGCCCACTCAGTGGAAAAGCAGACAGTAGGATAGTACACAGTTACAAGAGTATTTTTGTCCTATACTCGCGTTAGGCGCATTTTTCTAGTTCGGTGGTACTAATTTCTAAGATTTCCGAGAACTGACTGAGAACGACTTAATCAATAAGTCGCCAGCAAAGCGTACAAATCAGTGTTCGCCAAATATATGTATTTTATATACAGTTCATGAAATAAATATGATGGGTAGGAATAAGAAATAATATGACGATAATTATTGTCAAAAAACAACTGAATCACGCCTTGTACTGCCAGACTTACATAATATCGCATCTTTAATACCTTGATTTAGTAGCCTTAAATATATATATATATATATATATATATATATATATAGAGCAATAATTAACGATATATACATATATATTTAATTGACATGTGATTTCAGAAATGGACAAAATTTGCCCCGTGGTGCCTCTTCCCTTAGACGAAGTGGTATTGGCCGATCTCATGGAAGATGCTAAGGACTTCGCATTTAGCCATGGTCTAGTCTTCAAGCTAAGAAAAGTTTTACCGTACGACTATTCCGTCACGTTTATACCATTTGCATTATTACCCTCGCCTTGGCCGAAGGACCAATACGATATGGTCTGTCAACTTCAAAAAGATATCAATTTGATCTACTACCGCGTTTCGAATAACTTCGATTTTCTAAAGGTTAGCTGGCTACAAGGCATTACGTACACCAACCAACACTTCTTATTTATTAGTATTATTATTATAAATTAGATGTCTAGACAACTTTTCACTGCTAAAGTTATGTGTACCTATATTATATTAATCACATATCTAGTGTCGACAGCGATACTAAAGGCATGTTTATGGTTATTCTCAGAAAAATACCATATAATAACAATGTGTTGAACGGCGCATTGTGAAAGCGCTACCTGTATATTTTAATTGGCCAAATTTCTAAATTCAGGATTTGCGAGAAATGCCTTCAGTAAATAAAGTATAGTCATCAAAACAAACTACAAGTAGCTTTTTGAGGGATAATTGTTTTCCTAAATTCCGAAACGAATCGTTCATTATTGTTTTGCGGATTTTCATTAGAAAAATTAACAGCGCTTAAAAAATTCGTAATATTTTTGTGGAACCTGTAAACAGGTTTGCTAAATTCGATAAATCGAAATACATGGTGCTCTCAAAGTCACACAGCCCTATGATAGATAAACCGAAATTTAACAGTTTTGCAGGTAGTCCTCTGTGTAATTTTTTAAATTTTAGTTTAAAAGTACATATTCGGTTATTATAAACGTTTTGATAAAAAAAGACTTAGGATCACTGTTTCAAATACCTGGCGACGGCGTTACACAATTCGTGTGTATAAACTATTTAATTTGCATATGTAGATAGAGAAAAAAAACACAGTAAGTGCGCGAATGCTCAAAGTTTGATTAGCTTCTCATAAGAAGCAAAGCCCTATATCGAACGAATGAAGCTTGTTAAGATACATATAACTGTCTTTCTTCTAATTTTTAGAAGAGTCTACAACAAATATGCGAATTTGACGAATGGACCAGACGACTCTGGCAAATCTACGAACGTACTTATGAGTCTCAAAAAGATGTCCTTTCCCTTTGTATCATGAGGTCTGACTATATGGTTGGACATGATGGCCTCGCCAAACAGGTGATTCTTTTTCTAAAATAATTTTTCCATTTTCCAACACACCCATCCTTTAGGTGTAAGGTAGATTTACTTATTACGAATGTCTACTATGTAATGATAGTCGCAGTTCGACGCCTCTTATTTTAAGTCTTTCTAATATATCCTATTTTTTTTTTATCCTATTTTCTAATTTTATATAAATGACTAATCATAGTAATACTAGTAGCCTTTGCGGAAATTGCTATGATATGATTATTATATATTATTTAGAAAGTCGTGTCAGTAAGGAAAATTAGCAGAAATTTATAAATCCGCATTACGCCAAATGAAAATTGCGGTATAACTAAAAGCACGACGATCATGTTTGGATGTTTATATCAATGCTATCAATGGGTTAAGTTTTTCATGCAGAATAATCTTAGGCTGAAGTTTACGGCAGCAAACGTTGACACCGAAATGTTTTGCTCTAGTCCTCAACGTAACTAGCATTTCTATTAGTGTTATTATTTCCATAAGAACATTTTTCTTCTAAAGGGCACTTCATCCATGTTTTGGAGTCAGAATGTCAGGACACCTCTCTTGATTTAAGCTAGGTTCTGGTTATTTATTTATTATTAATTATTGGAGCATTACAGATTGAGGTCAATACGATATCAGCGGGATTCGGTGGAGTATCTCCAATCATGCTTGCGCAGCATAAATACATCATGTCGAAGTTACATCTTCATAACTTCCGCCGTGCGTTGCCAGAAAACGCTGGGACTCGCGTTGCACTTGGACTGGCTCAGGTACTAAAATGAAGCTGCTTCTTCAAAAATATTAGCTCCAACAATTTTTCGTGTGTCAAAGGTCACGGCGTTACGTGAGCTGTGGTGACATCACTGAACTTTGATGCCTCTTTTGCCCAATTGTGTACTGAGCAACTTATTTCTATGTGTGCGTAAAAAGCTAAATTAGTGTTTACAATAGTTTCTTTTTATATACGCGTTGAAATGCACGACTTCAGCTTGTATTACACGAGGGCAATCCTTAAAGGGCTGTGTCACTTACAAGGCGGTCTGCACAAAATTTTGAAACAATTTAGATGGCAGAACATAGTGCATCATTTAACGAGCTTACATCTAGGCAATGTTATTTGGACTAAGCATGTGCATTCTTTTACTAGGCGTGGGAGGCTTATGGTAACAGAGAGGCGGTAATATGCTTCGTTGTTGAAGATGTTGTCTACAATACGTACGATCAAAGGCAAAAAGAGCTGGCGCTCACTGAAAAGTACGGAATCGACACGCATCTTATTGTGCGGAAAAAGAACTCCGACTTACTCCGAGTTTGCGTGAAGGACGGAAAACTTTTTTTGGATAATATCGAGATAGCCGTCGTATATATGAGAACATGGTATGACCCCAGTCAAATTAATTCGGAAGAGCTCTGGAGAATACGAGAACTGATTGAAAAGAGCAGGGCGATTAAATGTCCCAACATCGCATGGCACCTTTCTGGTAAGCCCGATCAATGTAGCCACAGTCGGCTTGATGGTTAGATCTACAGGAAAAGCTAGCATCACGCAAGCCTCATAGAGCCGTGGCCATATTTTAGTCAAACTCGATTAAATACGTGCTGTTCTCATAGAGTTATTTTGGAAAGAGTAGCACCTTTTTTAGCTTCTGAACGAGAAAGAAGTCGCAGCAGACGTCATAGATGTCTAGAAGATTATGTTCATCGAATAGTTTAACGAACCCTTCGAAGGTTAACGATCAATAATCAAATTAAACAATTGTTGGCGAAACCAACATGTACTGTAGTGAACTTGCCCTAAGGCAGATGATTGCTTTTTTGCATCCTTGAATGACCGCCGTTGCAAGAAGCATTAAAAAACATGACTAAAAAATAGGTTATATGTTAAGAGATCTATATAAGGGTGCCTTTCCAAAGAAATATTAATAAAACACAACTTTTGAGCGTGTTCAGAAGAATTAAAAAATTAGCGAAATAGAGATCTTCACCTTAAAATAAGATCCAAACTTACTTCACCAAATTGGCATTTTTTTAGCTTCATGTACAATCTTCTTCACTAATGAATATTCAATACTTTGAATCGTGTGTAGGTCAATTATATCAAATGCATTCGAACCGTTTTTTAAAAGGAATTCATCGACTTGCCAGAGCATGTGTCAAAAATGATCTTCAATGTAGTAATAGTCAACAACACATCACTAAGGGAAAAGTGTGTTTTTTATATGAGGCCAAAGCCATTTATGTAAACAGACCCTATCTGAAAAATGGTGGAAGCGCTAGCTGCGGCTTTTTCGCATGAGTTCGCACCTCTTCCACTCAGGGACCGTAGACTCGTCACTTGGCAATGCGGACACAGGCTTGAGTTCCTTGAAACATATTTTTTAAGAAGAGTGTGGGTAAATTTGATGCTTTATATATTAGAGTAGACTGGACTGTTTGCAATGAACATTGAAAGATATTGTCGAATATCAGCGCACGCTTGCTACAGTCGTTTCCGAGTGAAACAATAGTTAATTTTCATTTGTGTTGGAAATAATTGGCCTCTGTGATGAACATTTCTTCTACAGTCGTCACTGCTTTCGATCACTGACTTTTTTGACAGTACAAGTATAGCAGTAGGCCACATCTGTCGGCATGGTTACGCGAAGGATATTTAGATAAAACTACATCCTGCAATAAAACTTTTTGGTTGCAGGTTCTAAAAAAATACAACAAGAGTTAGCAAGGCCCGGCGTATTGGAAAGGTTCTGTGATGATGTGGAGCAAGTGCGAAGGGTGCGGTCAGTTTTCGCGGGTCTGTATGTACTTGAGGAAGCAAAGACCCTTGAAATGGTATTGGCAGACCCCGAAAGATTTGTTCTGAAACCGCAAAGGGAGGGTGGAGGTAAGTCGACTGGAAAGGAAAAACCGTAATCACTAGTCGTCACTATGTTTGTCGATAGCAATCCTACAAATTGCCTTATTAAGAAGGATTTTAAAAGCCTCTATAATGTAATAAAACGTCCGGTTGTTTTTTTAGGCCATAACATATACGGAAGGGACATTGTACCATTTCTAAAATCCCTACCTGCGCCTAGGCGACATGAGTTCATAGCCATGGACATTATCGAACCCGTCTCCTGTAAAAACTATCTAGTTAATCGGGATAAAATCACATTCACCGAAGTTGCAAATGAACTTGGTATATTTGGGTAAGTAGTTTTTTTTATCCGAAATATCTGCGTATGTAAATATCCTGTGAACATCTATCCTACTAATTTACATTGTATTTAAGTTAAGCAGTTTTGGTTCTGTTCAACTGTATCTTCGTATAGATATTAGAGCACGACCATCAATGCAGAAAGAGGTTATACTAGACTGATAGTGAACTGTTTAATGCTACTGATCCTAAGACCTGTATTATAAGCCTTTACGTCTAACCTAATTTTAATAAACTGCTCACGCGTAGACTACAAACCAACGTTGTTCCAGTCGCAATTTTAGTTTACGTCGTTGCATTGCTTCAATCATTGCATTAGGCACAGGATCGCTGCAAAGTATGGCACTAACCAATAAATGCACTCTACTAAAGATAGCGCTTTTATTTGAGACAATAGTTGTCTATCGCAGTTGTACCACGTATGTATTAAGGAAAGGTAGTAGCATACCATAATAACTTACTTTTCGAAAAAGATATGATCCTGTCAGACAGAGCAAAACACCATTAGTGAGAGCATATTCATTAACAACTTTTATATTTGACATTCATTTACCTCTCAGTTACGTGTTAGGCGATTTTCGACGGATTGTACATAATGAAGCGAATTGTGGTTGGATCTTTCGAGCAAAGGATGCTAAGTCTACGGAGGGAGGAATTGCGGCTGGATACGGACATTTGGACAGTCCGTCTCTCGTATAAACATCAAAAAGAGAGAATATTAAGATTTCAGTGGGTCGACTCTTCGCAACGTTGACCAAGTGTCTACTATTCCCACAGTATTGTACCTCACGAACGGAGGGAACACAGTGTGACATAAGAATTCGTCGCCATTTGTACTTTTACTGTTGCATGAAATATAGCTTTCTGCCTTCTTGCACTAATGAGATGTCTTTAGTTGTAAAGCAGTATGGATGTTGAAAATAAGATTTATGTACATACTTTTTTCTCAGCAATATTCCAAACCACCGTTACTATCAGCGTAGTGATACTAATCTTAATTACATTTATTATGTATTTCATTCCTATAAATTTAACATACCTACAGCATTGGTTTTAGTTACGATTGCATTTGAAAATTAGATCTGATGACTTGCCCACACACATGATGACATTTCACAAAGAGACTGATCCTGGCGTAACTATTCGACACTAGTGTGTATAAAATGTACTACATCTAAAAAAAAACCTACAGATGTTAGATATTATTGCACATTTCCAATAGACGCGCGAGGCACAAAACGGTCTAGGTGGCAGTGAGTTCGAGACCCAATCACCTATATGTCCATTCAAGCAGCAGTGATTGAGTCCCAATCCTGAGTACGAAATTCCGCTCGAAAATTTTGTCACCTATTATGTCAAAGAAAGTAATTACTCTACATTAAAAAATCTGAACATTCTTTACACACTTGCTACCTTCACATGATTTGACGATTTCTACTACCGGTCATGTTTTTTAAAATTAAACTTTTTTAAAAATTAATTTGTTTAGTTCATATGTATTCTATATATAAGTGTATATATTCAATCTTAGGTACAACACAATGCAGTTTAAGAACTACGCAGTGACATGATATCCGAAATATAAACACCGGTTAGACGATCTTTTCAGCTCGCAACTATAGAGCCTGGCAATTTAATCACTAAAATTACTTAGAACTCTTGTTTAGGAAAATAAATACTATAAATATGCAAGTAGACGTACATTGTAAGTGAATCTTATTTTGCATAGAATTTTGCGTAGTTAACTGTAGTCTAATCTTTTTGGCAGATACCACACGAACGTAAAACTAATTGAGCTATATTGAATCGAAAATGTGTGCATCGCTAAAAATTGTCTCTTTATCAATAGAAATAACCCCTTTTTCCTTAGGTCGTTACTCCGTAGTTACGAATAATTAGGAAGTTGACTCCACGCAGTTGTTTCCTGGCAAAATGTTTATTGAACCACTCTTGACAGTGCAGTGGCTACGTTCTTTAAGTGTGACGGTTGCCATTAATTGCACGTAGTGTTTCATCTGTTTTTCTAAATGATTCCTTTCGTCGTATCTTTCACACATCAGACATTATATATTTCTATTCAGCATTTGACGACTTTTTGCATTTTTCGCCTTAAGAAAACGTTTTCAGTACTTCTATAAGGTGCTATATGCAGGCTTAGTTACCGTATTTGAATAATTGCGCGGACTTGAACAATCTATTTGGAGTCGTCTGCTACAGCTAATAAATAAACATTGCGTGTTATGTTTATAATTATTCTCTACGTTGCGGAATCTTTTACTGTTCTCGAAAGGATCTGTTTTATCATCGTGAAACTGGGCGAGCAGCGGTAGAATGAGCACCGAGGCTAGAACCCTGTGGGTTGGAAATCTGTCTGATAATATCGACGAAGATCTTCTCTATGAGTTATTCGTACAGGTAAATAGTTCTGAGAGATAACTCCTTCAGACTCATTATACAAATGATATTAATTAGTATAATATAGTCATTATTATTCTCTTTATATATCGCGTTGCAAGGCAACTTGAAATATATAATTTTGGGGAATACGTGATACGGTGAGAAATACTGTTTCGACTGAAGGAGTGAGAATGCGTATGTACAGAAGAATCAACTCCTTCCTCTGAGACTCATTCTAATTTAACTTAAAGCAATTACTAGCCATGACAAAGTAAGTAATGAAAAAAATTAGTTAATCGCACTTGATTTGTCAGATTTAAAATTGAGTTTATTGAAGACTTTTCATTCTGACTGGACACATAGGGCTGTCTGCGTAAAATTAAGATTCTGTCTTTTCATCAAATTGCTGAAAAAGCATAGTATTAATTCAACCTTTTTTTCGCAGCATTGAGTATCCTACCAGAATTTGAAAAGAATCAGCTTTTACCTAGGTCACCCTCGGTTATCTCTTTATAACACGTCGTTTTCTGTTTCCACACTTGTCTGTACTGGGCCCTCTTCTGTGGACCCTGGCATATGATAGGGTGCTAAGGCTAATAGATCTTCCTTTGAAAGTAAAAATTATTGTCTATGTCGACGGCCTTACTGTCGCAGTGCAAGGCCGAATCGCAAAGAAACTAAAGAAAAACAAACCTGATTCTGAGAGAGATTTTGATATGGATAAAAGAAGAGGGACCATTTTTGGCCCTGGGAAATCAGAGGCAATACTACTGTTCGGTAGGAGAAAACGCCAGCGTTTGAGACCCACTTTTAACGGGTAAAGAATAAATCTGGTGGAAAGGGCAGTATACCTAGCCATTAGACTCGGGCACGCAATGAAGGGAGTGCAGCACATCAAGTAAGCCGCCACAAAAGCGATTAGAGCGTCCACGGAAATTGCCAGTATACTGTCAAACATGCATGGTCCAGGGGAAAGAATAAGGAGATTTCTCATGGTAGTAGCAGAGTCGATTGTGCTCTTCGGGATGTTTGTGTAGACACTACCCAAACGTATAAGGACTACCGGTTAAGAAGCTACTTAAAGGCGTCCAGCGAAACCTCGCGCTTAGGGCCATCTAAGGCTACCGCACGGTCAGCACAAACGCGGCCTTGACCGTGGCAGGCATTATTGTCTAGGACCTGAAGAGAGGTGCATGCTTTGGTACAATCCGACGAATGATGCGGAAAGCAAAATCTTGAAAATGTGGTGCGGCGAGTGTGAGGAAATACCTAATTTTCCGCCAGGACTGGAAGTAAGGGACATGATCTTTAACATACGGGTCTGGACTGCACGCCCTGCTTCTCATGTACTACCGTACACAGATCCTTACGTGTTACGGAAGTTTTCAAATCTATCTTTACACAGGTGATAGTTTCACCGAAAATCTGTATCCTTTCCCTGCGGGTTTTAAAGATATAATTTTTCATATGCTGACGGCATGTACGACGCTCACCCATACTATAAAAGCCAAGTACAGAAAGAAGGAAGCTATCTGTAGGAGACGACATAGGAAGGTTTGCTTTTTTAGCATTGATTACAAGTACGGAAGATGTAAAAGAGATCTCGACTCTTGTAAGAGGGGTCACAGTTTTGTGCGAGCAACTAGCTTGTCTGGCGAGGCAAGGCACTTGACCTAGCTGACCCTAGCCTGATATTCGGTAGTACTAACTACTCCCTCCTGTCAGCCTATACTAGTTTTAAATGAACATCCGGGCTGATTCAGAGTAAATTTTGAGAAGAAAATTGAGAGTTGGTGAGTAGTAATTTTGACGCGAACAACTCCATTTGGTGAGGCTGAGGTTTACGCTTGGTCCAGATTGACACTATGCTCTTGTGGAGCTACCCGTATGTACATTTCATTACTTAAACCTTTACAGAAAAAAAAAAGAAAAGTCACATCAGGCGCTTCAAAAGTCTGCTCTTAACTGTGATACAGATGGAAAAAGTGTGACGTATGTTTTTTTTCGAAAAACCGGGTATTTTCGAGGCTGTGCTGATGATTGATGAGGTTTATACAATGTGATCTACTGATTCAGAACATATTTTTTTGCGTTACTATTTGAACACGAGGTTTACGGGAATCTGAATAGTGCAGCAGAGGGCCGCTGCTTAATTACTGCGGTTGCTCACTCTAGAATTTTTTTTGTTTTTTTGCTTAGAATATGAGACTCGTTTTGGTTTTTCTGAATTCCCCTTAGTGAAAATCTGTCTCAGTGTGGTAGAATTGGTTAGAATTGGAAAAAAGCGTATCTGTTTTTCTGTCGATATAAAGCATGTATGATAGTTCACGGTCGTAATTTCCAACGCTTCCAAAGCTTAAAATGCACTACTTCCGTAAATCTTCGAATAGCTATATTAAGTATTGCAGAAATGAGGACACTATGTTGTATACGCAGATCCTCATTTTTCCTCTCAGTCGAGGTAGCAATTCTTGAAACTGAATGAATATCTGCCCCGTTACTCTTCTTGTGACTCTTTATTTTTTGCGGTAAAATGGGTATTGAAATCTTACGGTAAAATACTTTATCTGCTAAACAGTGTCGCACCTTCAAGAAATGACCTACGATTTGCATCCCCTATTTTTGGTTCAACTAATTATTAGTTAGTGCCGATAAATATGATCATTTCTGACTATTTCAGGCTGGACCTTTGGAGAACGTCAACGTGAAAAGGGGGCCGGGCAACAGTAATCAGAATCCTTTTGCGTTTGTGACGTTTCGACATGATGCGTCAGTGGGTTATGCTATCGCGCTTTTCGACGGAATTTCGCTCTATGGTCGCGTTCTAAACATGAAGCAAAGGCATGGCGTAACACCAGACTACAAATATCGCGACATCATGGAATCGTACGTGTAAGCCTTTTAAAACAAGAACAACAGCAACAAAAGGCCAAAATACAAACGTGTATTCGCGTGATACCGCGTTTAGATGTTCTTCTTGTGCACGATGTAATGGACGATTATGATCGTAAGCGTAATGCTTGCATCTTTAACAAATGAGCTTCAATCGATCAAGAAAAATAAAGCAATCTGTTCGTTCATCGGTTCGACTCGCTTCTCTCACGGTTGCCTTCGACGAGGAAGCGACGAGGAGGAGCCTTCTCGTGCAAATCGGGACATCGCGGATCTAGGTCTTCGTGTATGATGCACACATATGCAATTAAAAACGGTCATAAATGAGCCCACTTTTTTGTTGTGACTGAAACCTTACTCTATGATTCTCGTCTCATCGTACCATTCAGGTATTTGCAGGAAATGCATCATTCCCGTGGCAGGCAACAGCAGCAGCAGCAGCAACCGTTGATGAATTACGGTAACCAACTAGAGCAGCAGGGAATTCATTATGCTATGATACAGCAGCAGATGATGATGATCAAACAACAGCAGCACTATGATAGTGGTGGAAACAACGGTGGAACACGCGGAGGATTCCGGAGGGACCAAAGAGATGGGGGACAAGCAAGAGACAATTTAAGAGGCATCCACGGGGGACACAGTCACGATCGTTACGAGAGGAGCAGCGGCAGCAGACGCCAGCAACACCATGGAGCTCATCACGGAAGCAAACATCATCACCATAACCATTCGCGATAGTCGAAGTTATACTACGTTATGGAAAAAAATTCATTTCAACAGGTCGAAAAAAAACAAGCTATTCAGTCGCAGCAATCGCATTAACTGCAGCATATAGCTGTGATAATGCCAGAAATTGACCATTAAGACAAATAGATTAAGCTATACACTTGTAAGGATGTACTATTTTGCCTGAATTGTGAATACGATAAAATTGCATGGAGAGACAGAATGCCGATAAACTCATACGACCAAATGCGATCGAGTGATTTTGCCGGCCATTTGCGAAGAACATTTCTTTAATCCGAACTAACAGAAACTAGTAGGGATTCTGAAAAGCTGATTTGCAGTATACGAGTGGTTTAATCACTGGCATTATTTTGTGATGAGCTTAGCTTCATTTGACGAAAGTGCTTTTTTTTGTGGCGAAGTTCATGTGTTGCTAAACTTGCTGGTGGAGTCATGACGGAGATCATGTCTTCACGTGCACCCACCATGTAATGAATGCTACCACTTGATATTATTGTACATGGAAACGTATATATTTATCTAATAAATAGTTACACTAAACTATTATTACAAACTATATATTTAGTTTGATCTTGTATTAAGATACGTGTTGTAATTTGACATATCAGGTTTTAGATTCATACGTATTTAGTAGTAGTAGTAGTAGTAGAGATTTACAATGTAATACTATACTAGTAGTTTGTGTATATTATAATGTATTAGATACTTCGTGCTTGTCCTGTTCCACAGACCTGCGCAAGGATCCCCACCGGATCTAACCGAATTAGATATATATATATATCGCACTGCTACACAATCAATGAGCTGTAGGGTTTCGAATTCATGGAACAACCCTAAACGGAGCGGCGTATCTTAACAACTCTGGGCCCATTAGACCAACCTTGGCAGAGGTCTTTTTCTTTGCTGATACTTAACGCACTATTGTCGGTGATCACCGTAAATTGCCGCGTTAACAGGTACGGCTGACAGCCAAACGTGGGCTTCCTGACGAATGCCATTGATGAGTTACCTAAAACAAAGGCCACTACGGGCTCTTCATTTTTTCCGTACTGGACAAGAACTGCTCTTAGCCTGGCGTTGCTTATATCGGTGTACACTTCAGTTCGTAAATCCTCAAAGTGCTGCAGAACTAAGCTGTTTGTGAAAGCATATTCAAGCGAGGCCTGAAATTAAATCTTGTTAGCCCAGAAAAACTAACAGGTCGCTTTAAACAGATTGTACTACTGCTTAGAGATTATGATTAAGCTCCGCACAAATCCACCATAGTGTGATGACCCCAGGAAGCTTCACAGCTGACAGGCAGATGCGAAGCTCCCGAACATATATTCCGCTCGCTTTTTTGGGTCGTGGAGGTTGCCTTGCGTATAAGCCCTTTGACCAATGTATGCAATTTCTTTGTATAGTGAACGCGCATTTCTCTGGGGTGTAAATTCGCATTGCTGAAGACCAGAAAGCATCTTCCAAAGATAATAAAACATTTCGGCTCCTCTGCAAAGCACTAATATCATCTAAGTGAACTAAGGCAATTTGGTCTTGCAACTTACCCAAAAACTGCTTTATGTGCTGCTGGAATATAACCGGAGCGTTAGCCAGCTCAAAAGGTACCGCATTCAATCTTCGATGGTCTAAACAATCGCGCGAGCCGTTTCGATTTACAAGAACGATGGGCAAGTCCCAGGGGCCAGAAGAACGTTCGGTAATGCCATCGTATAGTATAGTATTTTCTTGGCAATACGAAATCATCGCGGCGGAACGACCTGACGAGGGGGTGCATGCAATCAGAGCTGATCACCCGTGAGCAGGTTGTCGATTTGGAAGTGCCCACGTGCTAATGACGCGCCTCGTCGATTTCTCTATCTACAAAACCGGTGCGGCCAGGCCTATCCGCTCAAGACCGTGATTCCATTCATTACCTTTTGGCGTGTAACGCCTGGATCAAACTGCTGTATGCAGTCGTATTCGTTGCTTTCACGAGATTCGCAAAGGTGGCCACGCTGTTTTGTTGATATTAACTAGCGTGCTCGTTATTTAGCTTAAGTTCATCCATCAAAGCCCGTTTGGTCTTTCAAATTCTCGAAAAAATCTCCTTTTATTCGAGGTATCGCAGTTGTCTGGTCCGGGCACTCTTTTGACCTTGTTTTGGAACCGCTGCTAATCCGCCACCTGACACGCAACTTTTTTTTAATGTGGTCGGCTAAAAAGTTTTCCCCTGCGGCCCGATGCAATTTCTCAAAGAAGCAACGACCCAAAGAATCTATTCCCTCGCCTTCCGCTACCAACTTTGCAACAATGTCGAGCTCTGACCATTGGAAACTTACAACAACATCGCCGACTAAAGGATATTATGTACTCACCGCCAGTGTATATGTATATAAAGGACGAGGCAAATACCATGGCTTTAAAAAAAATCCTAATTAGTTAGAGCTAGGGTGGATACTAGGGACCTTAAATCGAATGTGTTCATATTTTAGCCTATGTGTAGGTTAAAGAGCTTAAATTAATAGCTGGTAACTGTATGGCTTGAGGTTCCAATATCCAAGTTGTTGTCTCTCTGATTTACTTGAAATGTAATATTCAGTAGTCAAAACGTTCCTATGTCTTGGTATTGCTTCAATGAGGCGACTCCATGGTAGATAGGTTCAAGTTGAAAGGAATCGAATTTCGCGGGCCCGGCAGACGTTTATTTGATCCCTAGAGATTTGGGGATATCATCTTTGCATGTTCCCTAGCCAGCGCCTTGTATTTCCCTAGATCGAATGGAAAATGGGCGATACATCAGATTGTGAGCAACTGTTAGATTAAAAATGTATTTGCTGTTTTCTAAGTAATTTCACGTCAATTAAGAAGAATGGATTCATGCTGTGTTTAATTTGTGTAGCGAGGTAAGCTTATGTTTGTCGAAAGGCTCTTTGCCACAAGTATGGCTCTAATGTAATTACAGTAAATAGGGGATAGTAAAAAGTGCTCTATCAATTGAACCAGGTGTCCATATCTTATGAGATGTCGTACAGTATACATGGAGAGCAGGTAGCTTACACAACTATTTATGTTGTATACATTCCTACGCAACTGCAGCCCTTCAGCTAGTTCATTCGTCAAATGATCACATTCGAAGTCCGACCCATTCAACCTCAGACCACAGTGCACTTGATTCATCATGACTCGTCACGACCATCTTTGTTTCGAATTCTGAGTGTCTTATAAGTGCTATCAGAGTTGTACAGATTTTTTTTACCGCCGCACCTTAATGATAGCTAGACTATAGGTCTACGTATAAAATATTCACCAAATTATTTTGGCTTAGATGGGGTTAATTTTTGCTAAAATTGTAATTGTATTTCTATTTCTCCTAATCTAACGTTTATTTGCGAAAGTGGCTATCCATCTCTTACACCGTTTTCGATGAAGTAAACACAGTATGCTTTACTTGATACGCATTATTATTTTATGCCATGTCGGTTTTCCCGTATCTGATTCCATCTACGATCAGTTATTAAATCTATATTGATCATCACATTGAAACTAAGTGCGTTAAATCCAAATTTACTATAGTACTTATTCATAAAATTAGTTATGTAAAATTACCATATAATACACGATACATCTACCAAGTAATCATTAAACGACCTTTTTTGGACAAACAAGGTTTATTCAGTTATATATATTATATTACAGTTAATTACTCAATTTTACTTTGATCGAGTAGGTGCCTTTCAGAACCGTAATCTTATATTAAGGTTCTGCTTTACGTAACATTTAAATAATGAGACAAAATAAAGATTTATTTTAAATAAAATTCTGGTATGATATGTAAATTTCTCCACCATTTTCTTCAATAATTTCTAACCTAGTGGTATTCTATCATGCATGAACAGACATTATTATCTACATCTTCAATGCACTAATGCTATTTATATGTGTAATGCTTGTGCCCATGCTTTTCAAAGCCCGCAGCAGCACAACGGTGTTGTCCCTGCTGTCAGCTGTTTACGCTTGTCGAGGTACGCGCAGGACAAAACTCCAGCAGCACTGGCCGCCATTGTTATCCATCGGCAGCATATAATTATAATCACCATTTTCATCAATAAAAAGGAGTATGGTTTTGAGTAGTGAACGATTGGAAAGAAGCTGTGAGAGAAGTGCCGGGAGGCCACTCGGACTAAAGGAGGGTTCGGGAGGCAAAATGGCGACTGAAGATGGAGATGATCGGGTTAGCTGTCAACCAGAAGCCACAAGAAGTCGGAGTCGACAGCAGGAACTCGAGCACCAATCACATCAGGAGGGACAGGAAGAAATGCAACAGGACGAAAAAAGGCCTCCAGCTGTTGATTACGCCGCAAGCATTGAGAAGGTGAAAGACTGCGGATGGTACGTTACCCCTCAGTACTGATTTCATGTGCTAATACTTGTCATATATTTTTATCAGCGGTACAAAAGATTATACTTAAGAGCTTGCTTGTGGTTACACTCAACCTAAAGCTGATTGGGATTTTTATTGGGCGTTTCTCAAAATAGTAGCACAATGCTTAGTAGAGGCTACAGGATAGTTAAACCGCTGTTATCGAGGCCAATAATGTCAATGACAATCAATCTAAGTTCTGTTTTACTTGTTAACAAATACTAAGATTTGGTCGTCAATCAAGTTGGTCTATCTTTCCCTATATTTACATTATTTATCTTCCTACACGAAAGAATGTGCTTTGTTTTGAGGATAACCTGTACTCTTACTTAACTGTTAATGCAGGTATTGGGGACCGATTTCTGGAGCTGTAGCGGAGCGATTACTGCTACAAGAACCCGATGGATCTTTTCTTCTTCGAGACTCTTCGGATGAACATCACATCTTTTCGTTGAGCTTCAGGCTGTCGGGAGAGGTTAAACACGTTCGTATTGAACAACACGGAGGCAATTTCAGTTTTGGATTTACCAACAAATTTCACTCAAAAACCATCATTGAATTCATCGAAAATGCTGTTGAGCATTCACGGTCGGGTCGTTATCTCTTTTTTTTAAACCTTATGCCTATGGCAGGGCCAGTGAGAGTGCAACTACTCTACCCTGTTTCAAGGTAATTTCATCACGGATTTATTCTTTGCCAAATTATAGATCAAATTTGTTTCTAACTAGCGTCAAATCGGGTTTTAAATCGCTTCACTAGTAAAGTTATTATCAGGATAGGGCTAGGAGAATAATAAATTGTTTTGTCATTTTGTTTATAGTCGTAGCCGTTTATTCAATACGACACATATCTAAATTTTTTTAGGAGAAGTAATAGAAGTACGCGGCAAGAGTCTGGTAGTTTGGTCCTTAATCAGACTTTGCCTATCTTAAAACACAGAAAATATCGTCTTTGTTATAATTCGTCTGAAAATATATACGCTGTTCATTTATCATGAATTTGAATACTGCTATCTTCTCGTGCTTGGTCTTTACAGGTTAAAACGAATGAGTTCACTTCAGCATTTATGTCGTTTGACAGTGTTCAAAGTGCTGCGGCAGCGACGAGATCTTATCCCGGCATTACCCTTACCGGCAAGGTTGCATGAATATTTGGATACACCAACTTACCTCATCGAAGACGACCTTGTGGATGTGAGTTTTTCCTTCATCGTGTCATATTGTATTTTAATAGAGGACATAAATGCGACCTATTGCAATAGGTGTGCAAAGTCTGACTTTAATCCATGCGTTCAAATAACTAAATGGTCATTTTATATGTTCTTCAAACTTGCTTAGTTTTTCAGCGAGCCGACAAAGGAAATCCTGCTTGAGGGAGATCGTGAGGGAAAGGCGGAACCGCCGAGATCACAGTCTCGTTCGCAGTTACAACAACAAGAATACCACAATACAAGCAGCACCAGTAACAACAATAATTCTGTGGAGAGCTCATAGTAATACATCATCAAAGATTAATTAGTGGCTGGAATGATTTTTTATTGATATATTCCGACCTCTTGTATCGGTTGCAGTTTGACATTGTAAAGATGAGTGAACAGGAAAAAGGCGTTCCGCAGCTACTTAATACAGCAGTACATAGACATTGTCGCATATTGCAATCGTGGCTGTACATTTGTTATATAATCACCTCGTCCTGAGCGGTGTTTGGACAGAGTGTGAATGTTGCACATCAGAGTGGAAAAGTATGAAGATGACGATGACGGGGAAATAGTCGCAGTTACGGCCACAGTCATAGACGAAGCGACCAAATTTCGGCCGAGCACCTGCTTATTACCTTGAATTTGTGCTGTAGTAGCAATCCACAATTTTAAATCGTAAAAGTACGTTGTGAGATTTTGAGGATGATTTTGTAAGAAGAAGAGATTCAGGTATATTATTATTACTTTAGTAATGAATGATATCATGTGTTTTGAGACCTTTGTTTATGAATTTCTTAAGACGATGGGGTAAGCCCCCCACGGGAAATTTTTGGTGTTGCTGCATATAAAAAGGAGATTTCACAACCAGTGCAGTGATGTTGCGGTACCTTTATGTAAGTGCCACCGGGCTCTACAACCTTTGCTAGAGAGATATGAGTTAGAAGAGAACGAAATCAAATCCTATAGTCAGGTAGTTGTTATCGTTTTAAACTGGTGTATGTTTTTGCAGTCTATTATAGATTGAACTTTCGGTTAAAAGTGTTCAGATGTTTGCCTCATGAACTAAGGATGATCTCGAATGTAGGTATTTTTAGCCTTCGTTCCGGTTATGCTCTCACCGCTATTTTATGGTTTCTGATTCAAAACGTGCCGGTACCGCAATCCTATTCGCTAGCAGAAAAGAGTATTATAATGAATATTAATTGGATTAAAATGTCAAGTCCCATCTATGACTTGAGAGTGATATATAGGAACTGCCCATGAAAACTCAGGCAACTATGGCGTTCAACGCCTTCTAGGATGATCTTTGGATCATAGAAGTTTTTCGTTCTAAAAGCGCATATTGATTTCGTAGAATTCTATTGAAGTGTGAAACAACGCACTCGGTTAAATAACGGTAAATTCATTATCTAAAATAAGTATAATGCAAAAGATCTGCAGTATCCTCGAGTCAAATAATCAAAGGATGAAATAACTAGTAACAACTAAAGGAGGGGCATTGAGTGTGATAGTACTACGTAGAGCACGCTAACAAATATTGTTCATTTGTTTTGTTGCTAAGTTAGTTGCAGTGTCTTTTCGCTGGGCTCTATACTAACACGGCAGCAGCTTTTCATAGGCGAATAGAACACATGTTTATCCCTTTACCTTGTATGATCCTACATATGTAGTATGTACACGTATCCCTTGATAAAAAATCTGCTTTCCATGTCTCTCTCTTGATGTGCTCAACTTTACTGTCGCTTCTAAACCATATGGGTCAGACAAATGTACTTTTTCATTTTCTTAGAAGGCAAGTCGGGTTAAGACTGGCTTCGACTACCATAGCCTAACACCTTGAAGCTACTAGGCGAAGCTCCCCTGAGCAAATCGGAAAACTATATCCCTATAAATGCATAGAAAACTCAAATGATACAGGGCAAAAGCTCTCTTGGGGCTCGAAAACATCCGCGTGCCTCACGTAAGAGACATAGACAAACACTAAGTTGCTATTACAGTTGCGCTCAACTTGGCTATATATATATATATATATATATATATATATATATATATATATATACACGTATTTACTGAACCAATAGTTGACCAATAAATGTAATAATTATATATAATTATTACCAACCTCGTGCTGGTAAAAATCATAATGCGATATTTACTATTTATTATTATTCTGTTAAGAACATGCTTCTCATGGTTAGTCAAAGAGTGATTATGAAAGCTACGTTGTATTTAGGCATCTACCTAGACCAAGGATATGTCAGGGGGTCTACTCAACCCTTTCTTGTTCGGCGAAGATAACGCATTTCGAGACAATACTTGAAATCCACTAGATCAAGCTATGCTTGAAAATTCGAGAAACGTTGCCCTTAATCATTTTGATTATGATGGGCTGTTATCATCGATGCACAGTTGCAATTAGGTTTATAATAGAAAAGTAATGGAAAACCTAAAAATGGATACAAATGAATTATAATTTTTATAGGCTGGATTACACTTCGGTAATGCAATAGGGTCGTTCACGTGAAAAATCGGAGCAAAGAAGTAGTATTGGCGACAAGAAAGGATAAAACTTATCATACATGCACTTACAGCCTAGAGCAATGGTGAAACACGTATTTATTGTGTACAATACAAAATGAATTTTCAGTTGTTTAACGCGACGTCGGATGTTGCTGCGCAAACCTAGAAGTACGGACTAAATTATTATCTTTGACTGACCTTTTTCCGTAATAACCTTTGCATCCCGATACTTGTACAGAAAACAAACAGTGAGCGGTCAAACCCTTGTTGATATGTATCATATGTTTACAAGAGCATGTTATGAAAGCGTGCTAATGCTATGGAACAGACAAGAATAAACTATATACATATCGCCCGACGAGGTCGTAATTATTGGCGATCATTAAAAGATGCGGTTTTTTTTTAGACAAACCAAGAAACATGCCCATCAGAGCATTATTATTTTTGATATCATTCGACATAGCTGTTTATGATGGTCACCATGTCGTTTCAAAGGAGGGACGATGTTTCTTTGTTATCGTATCGTCCTGCACGGGTAATGTTAAACTTGGTTCTACGAAATCAATGACTGTAACTTGGATTTATGAGTATTATAATGCCGCTCTGAACATGCTTCAAAAATACTGACTTGTTCATCTTCCTTCCAAACGCGTATCAACAGAGTATACGCCAAGACTGGGCGTAGACAAATTTCATTTTGTGCTGGAAACCAGCGACCTAGAGAAATGCTTAATGTGAGTATCAGTTGTAAAACTGAAGACACTTATTTTTTAAACATTAAGACTTTCTCGCTTTTGGAGTTCACGCGTAAATTTAAATCAAATAAGTGGCCGAAAAATTAGCTTTGATTCATTCGTACGGTCTCAAATATCTACTAGTTATATCTTTACGCATGCTGTTTTTGCAAATATCCATATACGGAATATGCATTTCGTTATTAGTTTTTCCTTAAACGTTAGCTAATGAAAACTCAAAGAAGTGTCTTTACAAAAAAATAAACACGCAGAAGCAGAATATAATTATGTTTCGAATTTAATAGACGGTTAAGTGTTGCTTCAGGCCGCTGGGTCCCAAGAAGCAGTGTTTGTCTACGTTAGATTTTGAACCTGGGCTGGCTTTCTAAATGTCCGTAGTACTACGAAAATACTACTGCCCAGGTCTAGGGTACTCTCTTTTTACAACTCAACGCAAAAATATTCCGTCTACCTAATTGCCACTCTTTTTCGCTATATGTTTGCAAAACAATTTTGCCGCTTAATAATTACCTAACACACTTTTTAACAATTGAAGAATTTCGGATGTTTCAGTATCGCATTACTTGAGATCATTATTTGGGCACTTGTGAAGTTATTCGGCAAAAGCATCTTTTAAATAGGTGATTTAGTATTGAAAAAGTCATATAGGAATTTGGTGAAAGTTGTTAAATGAACCAAAATGCATCATTAAGCATACATCCATAGACAGGCCAAAAAAAAGGACGAAATTTCTACCGTTGTCTTAAAACGGTGCCTTTCCACCGCGAAGCCGTTGATTCACATGTCTCAATAACGGCAACTTGGTTGCAACTTGAAAATCTTAATTGAATCTGAACATAGAAGATAGACCCAGTCATGGATTATTTAAGCTTTTAATCAATTTGGTTCTTTTTTGTTTATATAAAAAATTATAGAGAAATTATTTGCTTAATTGAAATGTGTGAAGTATGTTAATAAAAGATAGATATGAATGTTGAAAATCCTATATCTTCAACATTTGGGCTGTTTTAAAGAATATAATTTAATTTAGCTAATATATTTATCGTGTACCATATGTAAAAGCTTATAAACAAAATTACGGTCATGCTTCGAAATAAAATAAAACAAGAACAACATCAAAGGACTAAGCTAGATCGGTTGCATATTGGACTAGTTTGTCTGAAGCTATGCTGATAGTGAGATCACACATATACATTGGACCATTTGATATTTTTTACAAAGGAGTGCGCAGTCTGCACATACGCAGACCAACGTTGACTCGTTGTACATTTCATGGTGATGCAAAGATTTTAGCGATACCCTTGAACGGCAAGTTCAGTCACAACATGTTTGTTAGATCGGCTAGCTTTCCTCCACGCGTCGCCGTTGATTGTACTTGGGCTTGAGATTAAGTCGATTTGGTAAATTTTTATCCACAGGTCACAATCTCATTGCCGAAGGAGAACATCGCAGGAAGGTCAAGGAATTCTTTTGAGTTTACCGAAGTAAGAAGCGGTCAGCCAAAGGATACTTAATCTTGTTGCAGACAGTATAATAAAAACTGAGAGCACAGTCAGGTTAAGATGCTTTGAAGTAACTTAGAAGCTTGACAACATTTCAAATAATATATGAATAATCCCATAATCTTTAATATAAGCTGGATAATAGTAACCTTTTGAAATAGGTTTTCTGACAAAAGCTGAGAATTTGTAAAGCATTTTAACATAAAAGTACTTAGTTTTTCGGATTCTGCACAAAAAGCACAACATTTCGATTATTATTTTCTTTGGCGATAGGTACAGTATTTTGGTGATGCAAAATTGATCTTAGAGGTTTCGAAGCTTTCTTTAAGCTTCCAAGGGAAGGACTGAGAATGATAGTCGGTTATACCTGTTGGGATTATGGGGCTATCGTGATCTAATAACGGATTAACGTCAATAAGTAACAGCTAACAGTAACAAGACTACGACTTCATTGCAATGTGATAGCGGAATAGGTACACTGTAGAACGGGATAACGATCGCTGGGTAGCGGGATGATTAAAACGTGTCCATACAGTATCTAAATTGAGATAACTAGAGAAAAACAACGGATGCGCTGAAGCAGTACACTTTGATAGCTGAAACAAAACGACAGCCACGATTCCTTAAAATATCTTAACTCACCTACCAGTTAGACCATGAAAAACAGTTTTCGTGAAGGGACTATGGTATCGTACTTTCCTACTAAATTTAGGGACACGTGACGCAGTCTAAGGTCAAAAGCAGGCTTAGGCGTATTTCAATTCGTAACGCTTCATGTAACACGCTTAATGGCAATACCTATTTAAATCTCTCTAGTTTTGTGTGCGATACTGAAGGCAAGCACTGCTTCAGACAAAAACCATTAATTCCATTAATCGTAAGTCATTAATTTTACCGACAGATAGATTACGATATGCAGCAGAAAAGTCCTAATTAGCATTCGGTACGTGTGTGCAGCCCGCAGCATTTACGTACATAGAGATGAATCTTTGTTCTAAAGTGAATATCCATACGCATAGATGAATATGTGTGCGTGTGGTGGAATTTGTCGTAAAGTAAGAGTAAAAAAAAACCGTAAAGAGCAAAAAAAAAATGTTCTTCTCTGTTCTAATTGTTATAAATGTAAAGGTTCATATTTGTGTAAAAGCGTTTCTTGTTAGGCAGAACAATGGCACGATCCCACAGAAACCCGAAGTGAGCTAACAGGTTATATCTGTGTCGACTGAAATTTGGGAACACCTTGTATTCCTTTGAAATCCTTTGAAGATCCTTTGAAATCTGAACATTAAATCTCTTTTTTTTTTTTATTCACTTATTCTGATCATTATTTCTGCCGTACGATGATATTATCCATTATTGATCGTAGCAAACTGCTGTGAGTGCCTCAATGAAGTCTGCGTTACGTCCCTCTAAGCTTTATCAATATTAACACGAATTCTTCGACAGTCAGACGAGTGCTTAAAGAGGGTTTGTCGATGTATGTGCAAGTTAATTTTACCTGGATTTAGTGTTTGAGTTAGCATATTAGCCTTGTGCTTATAACGAATTGGTTCGCGCTTTGGAACAGCTAATTTGTCGATGAAACCTAATAAAAATTTAGCCGCTTGCGATGATCACTTTCAAGAACTCGTAGATTTCAATCAATTTTTTAATCACCCATATATGGGAAATTTTCTGCACTGCCTTAAGATTTGTTAACTAAGCTGGATCAGCCGTACTGAAATGCGTTTAACGCCAATGTTATTAGTTTAATACTGAGCCACTTTGGCTAGGGATAATAATTTTGTTGAAATTTTTGCCCCCAAACTGTCCGGATGCAATTTTCAGCCTCGACTGCCTCTATTTTTACGAAAATACAAGGAGATTTAACGCTGACTTTACGTCCCTAGTATTACAAGTTGGTTCACTGTGTTAATGCAAAAACTGCGTTACCAGCGAACTTGACTTCCCTGTTACTGCAAGTATGGATTCATCTTTAAGACCGGCTAATGTACTTAGAATGAGCACTCTTTACCATTTCCAGTATCTTTTCGCACAAATAGTCTTTTGGAAACCCACTCTATATGTTCCAGATAATTCTGGATTATTTTAGAGCTCGATCGCAACGGAAGGTTCGCCGGAAAAAACATGGCTAAAGTTGACAAATGCCGCCTGGTAGGTCCGACTCTAAACTTTATATTAAAACAGATTCTGATTAATCAAATGTTATAGATTCTACCGGACAACAATTTTTCGGTGTATCACTGCTGGGCCATTCTATAGGCTGGGCCTGAACTAATTATACGGCTGAGTATTTTCAAGCAATGGAAAGCAAGTTTTGCTGCATTTACTTCGATTTTTCCAAAATACTACACACGCTAAACAAAATAAATCGTCAAGATAATTGTTAATAGACTGAATTGTTGCGTAGGTCAAGCTATATTGTACTCACTCAATTTTATCGAACTCATTATTGCCACGGTTTAAGCGTTACCTTGAAACTGAGACTTCTGTTCAAAGCCCACTGTAGTTTGCCAGGCAAGTGTTCTTTCTTGGCATACGTGAGTAGTATTATACCAGCGGAAATAGCAGATAAGTTCTATGGGGATGATCTTAAACTATGCACCCTTACCCATCATGACAATAATTAATAATGAGTTCCACTCAGTTTAAAAGAGCTAACCGACCGGTGTGCTAGTCAGGACATGACTATTTGAGTGCCCAAGTGCACGATACTAAATTCCAGTGATATCCCTGAAAAGCACAGCTTGAATTTACAAATCATACAGGGATATGAACAAGTCAGAATTTAGTGTTATGGTTACCGCTGACTTCGATTTAGATGTCAGTTATTTACTGGAGGGCACTCACTTACATCATGATCCCTCATGATTTTGTAGGTGAAACGTGGTTTCGTCGTATGGAATAACAAAGATCTCGTAGTATCAAACCATAATGTACTGTAAAGCTCAATAATTTTAGGTGTGGTTAGGTTTCATTCTTTTATTTTTATTGCAAATAATGTAAAGTGTGCTTAAAAATCGCCACTTGCTATCTACGCAATTCTATTTTATAATAAAACAGTCATCTATTCTTTTTATAGTATAAAGAGTCTAGGTCCGAAAGCATGTTCGACTCTTGTCTTGTCTTGTGGATCGCTAGAGCTTTTTCCTGGCAAGGTGCAGAAAGTGGGGATGATCGTGTAAATACTTTTGTCCCCTAGAGAACAGTGCTTATCTTTCTTCTTAGACGGTAATGTTAATTTGGTTGGTCATAAGCTAAGGTTAGTAATTTCTTGCCTCTTTTTCGCATTTGAAAACAATGCCGCACCGCCATTTAGAAGTACCGAGGCGACCGCCAGCATTGTCTATATTATCAATGTGATAATTGCTAAATTGGTATTGTATGATTCAATGCGTACGTGATAAACTGAATTTAAACCGTATTTGTGGAAGATGCTATTAAATTATAGCTGGCCAGCGTTCCATGTCATCTGTATCATCTCATAGGTGGCGGTAACATATATTGGCCTCAGGTTCGAATGGCTGGAGTTCTTCTGAATATTTCAACGGCTTTGTTCTTCCAATAATCTATTTAAAATGCTTATGGATTTAGCAGGAAGGAAAAAAATGCAATGTTAATGTCTAACACGAATCTACTGTTTTGTGTTATCTCGACGAACCTTAGGCTAGGAATAAGTATAGAAAAAAAATATGTTAGGAACAAGTGATTGTAGTACTGCAATCATCTCTACTTGCCTATTTTGAGCGCATTATTATAGCTACGCCATTTTGATTGTTACTGTAGACTAGCTGATTAAACTACCCATGTTTTTACGATCCTATTGGCTTTGTTGTGTCGTCTTGCATAATACTCACGTTTGTTTACTTTGTGATAAGAGTCCCGTTCTATATCAAAAAAATAGCACTCGATTACTGTTCAGTAGAATGGAGCGCGATTTCAATTATATCCCTTAGTATGTACTCAATACCCTCAAGTAATAATTGCCCTTAGAGCAACCATGTTGACATAGGCGGATTCCTTCTCTGTGCACTTTTGATACAC